ACATGCTCGGAGTACTCGTCCTGGTAATCCGTCTGGCCCTGCGGCCTTGTGAATGTTGACCTGCTTAAAAGTCTTACTCACATCGGCTACGGAGAGCGTGATCACATAGTCATCCGGAACAGCTGGTGCTCTCATGCATGCTTCAGTGTTGCTTGCCTCGAAGCGAGCATAGAAGTGGTTTAGCTCGTCTGGTAGGCTTGTGTCACTGGGCAGCTCGCGGCTGTGCTTCCCTTTGTAGTCTGTAATAGTTTTCAAGCCCTGCCACATCCGACGAGTGTCAGAGCCGGTGTAGTACGATTCAATCTTAGTCCTGTATTGACACTCTTCCTGCTTGATGGTTCGTCGGAGGGTGAACCAGGTATTGATTAGGTGATCACCTGAACCAAATCTTATTTAACAAGGAAAGGTATCACTATCCTCTTGCAATAGGACCAGCTGGATGGCAAAAACAGTGCTTATAGTACCTCAAAAGTAATATTAATCAAAAAATAACTATTGACCATGCCAAAAGAGTTGAAAAGGAAAGTTTTGAGTGAGGAAAAGAAGGGTTCAATTCTGGCTTTACTGGCATAGGGATACAGTGAGCGTCAGGTTGCTCTCATCCTTAGAATTTCAAAGACGGCGGTTCATAAGAACAAGGTCAAGCAGCAGACATTGGGGACAACAAAGGTACAGACCGGCAGAGGGCGAAAACGACTCTTTACTGACTGGGATGACCGCCAACTCATTCGAATGTCACTCAACAACCGTAGGATGACATCAAGTGACCTACAAAAAGAATGGCAAACGGCAGCTGGGGTGAAGTGCACGGTGAGGACGGTTCGAAACAGGCTCCTAGGGGCAGGGCTGAAGTCATGCAAAGCTAGAAAAAGCCCTTCATCAATGAGAAGCAAAGAAGAGCCAGGCTGAGGTTTGCAAAATACATTTACATTTTCAGTCATTTAGCAGACGCTCTTATCCAGAGCGACTTACAATTCATTTGTTGTCGTTGGTAGAGCATACATTTTCATACTGGCCCCCCGTGGGAATCGAACCCACAACCCTGGCGTTGCAAACGCCATGCTCTACCAACTGAGCTACACTGGACTTTCCGGAAGCTTTTTTAGAATAGCTGGAGCAGTGGGGAGAGATCTAGCCACCTCGAGGGTGTCAAAGGCGGCTTCATATCGCATGGTAACATCGACCACCAAAGCTGTGCCGTTTTTCATGAAATCAAGTCTGGATTCCTCAGTTTCCCTTCTTTGGAAAAGATACGCATCTCCTTGATAACGTTCCATCCGTTGCTTTCGGCTTCAGTTACCAATATGTATATTTATGCGTGCTCCTTGGATCGACGGGCATTGACCCAGGATGTGTGAGCAAGATTCGTATGGGGCTGGACAGAGGAAGGCCCTCAAAATTGTCAATGACTCCAGCCACCCAAGTCATAGACTGTTCTCTCTGCTACCGCACGGCAAGCGGTACCGGAGTGCCAAGTCTAGGTCCAAAAGACTTCTCAACAGCTTCTACCCCCAAGCCATAAGACTCCTGAACAGCTAATCATGGCTACCCGGACTATTTGCACTGCCCCCCCCCACCCCATCCTTTTACGCTGCTGCTACTCTGTTAATTATTTATGCATAGTCACTTTAACTCTACCCACATGTACCCACATATTACTTCAACTACCTCAACTAGCCGGTGCCCCCGCACATTGACTCTGCACCGGTACCCCCCTGTATATATAGCCTACTGTTATTTTATTTTACTTCTGCTCTTTTTTTCTCAACACTTTTTTTTGTTGTTGTTTTATTTAAATAAATGCACTGTTGGTTAAGGGCTGTAAGTAAGCGTTTCACTGTAATGTCTGCACCTGTTGTATTCGGCGCATGTGGCCAATAAAATTTGATTTGATTTGACAGCGCCTGCAAGAGGAGTCCATCTCTGGCCTTCCTCTTGTGAGCATCTCACGCGTGGGATAAATGTTGGCTCTCAACTTAAGCCCATCGATGTACTGGCCTTGCTTGAAGCCCACTGTTGAGGGATTAGCCAACCAAGTATTGCTGGTCTTGTCATTGCCAAATGCCAGCATCCCTATGCCTTGAGATGCCAGGCTGATCCATTTCCGCATTACCTCCTGCCTCCAATCACATGGGATTGGGCACTGCGGCGTCACAGAGTCGGTAGACTTTTCTTCTAGGGAGGGTCTCTCTGTCGCACTCCCTGGCTCTCAGCCATAGTCCCTTGAACTCAGATTCTTCAACTGTGCTGCGAGTTATCCTCCGGGTGCACTCATCCGCAGAGTGCCACAGCCGGTGGATCCTTCTGGCCTGGATCGATGGAATCTGGCGTGCCATTTTCACGATGCCTAGCCCCCTGTCTCGTTTTTTTGCGTATAGCAGCCCGTTGCAGGTGCTCGGGGGGAGGTGGAGCTATTCCTTTATTGCCCTTATCATTCCATTGATTTTTGTCAGGTCGACCGACTTTTAGGTTGCTGTGGTCAGCTTTGTAGATCAGCCTCGGTACAGCAAAGGAGTTCAACATCTTCACCTTTTGTGGAGGTTTTAGCGCCGCCCACCCGATCTTGCATATCCATTTGCGAAGTAGCCCGATCAGTTCTGGTTTGACAATACCTGCCCAAGGGTTTATTTGCATGCCGAGATATTTTTCTGATTCCTCGGGCCCAATCATGTGCACGTCCTCTCCATTCAGTTTCCAGGCTGAACAGTCATTCACCTTGAACGAGGACTCACCCTTGCCATTGTCGCCCTTTTCGATGAAGAAACTGTGGCACTTGGAGGGTTACACCCTTAGCCCCATTAGTAGGCAGAATTGCGATGTTTTGTCCCATACCCTTCACCGAGTTGCTCAAAAGCACCAAGTCATCGGCAAACGCTAGAGTGGTGGTCTGGCTGCCTTCTGACCCAACCCCAGAGCCGTAGCGTTCAAGTGTCTTGATCAACGGATCCAATGCCAGATTAAACAGCAGCGGTGACATCGGATCATCTTGCTTAACACCGACTGACATGTCAATCATCAGGGATTTTACTCCTTCGATGATGATCCTAAGGATTGGACCGTAGAGGACTGGAGTAAGGTCATCTTCTCTGATGAGTCAAATTTTTAGCTTTGCCCAACACCTGGTCATCTAATGGTTAGACGGAGACCTACTCTACAAGCCACAGTGTCTCGCACCCACTGTGAAATTTGGTGGAGGATCGGTGATGATCTGGGGGTACTTCAGCAAGGCTGGAATCGGGCAGATTTGTCTTTGTGAAGGACGCATGAATCAAGCCACTTACAGTGAGGGAAAAAAGAATTTGATCCCCTGCTGATTTTGTACATTTGCCCACTGACAAAGACATGATCAGTCTATAATTTTAATGGTAGGTTTATTTGAACAGTGAGAGACAGAATAAAGACAAAATAATCCAGAAATAAGTATTTGACCCCTCTGCAAAACATGACTTAGTACTTGGTGGCAAAACCCTTGTTGGCAATTACAGAGGTCAGATGTTTCGTCTCTATTGCCATTGTCCTGGCTGGAAGACGGTTCAGTGAATGGGTAGCTAAGTCCATATTAAGTCAATAGGGCTAACTGGCTAGCTAGCTAGCTAGCCACGAAGAATTGGTAGCTACCCACAAAATGTACATCTACCTTCCATAACATTAGTTTTAGCTTTTTTTTTCGTCTTTAACTAGCTGGCTAGCTAGATTATTACGATTCACATATCTAGCTGATAATTATGAAGTAAAACGTTTGCTTTGTGTGTATCTTGTTTAGTCTATTGTTGCCATTGTCCTGGCTGGAAGAAGGTTCAGTGAATGGGAGGTGTATTGTGAGGTAATACAGTAGGGGGGAGTGCGAGTGCTTCTCAAATGTAATGTTTTATGCATTCTCAACCCTCTCGTCCTCACAAGAACTTACTCAAGAGAACGTCGTCGTAGATTGCACTCGGAGCATGAGAGTGTGGAGCACGGTATGTATGCATATTGAGAAACACCCAGTATGTCCTGAGGTGACGTGGTCATCAAATGTCCTAGGTCACTTTCTGCCCACCGGTCTGACCAGCAGCAGATGAGTAATAAGGCTGCAGGTCATGAAATCAAGGAGAATGTGTCCTTTACAGTTATAGTGCCATATGCAAACAGCTGTATAAAAGGGACTGGTACTACTGGGAGTGAAACCTTCTTGTGTAACCACACTAGTGTGGAAAGCATGTCCAGATGAACACTGTCCGGAGGCATCAACGTTTATGTCATAGGGGTTAATACACACAGACAGCTGTTGAGAGCACATCATGTCTGAAGTTGACCCTGGCTTTACAGCTTGACCCTACTGCTATACAAATGTGTTTACTTCCTCTTCCATGAGCCCTAGTTACATGGAGTTGAGCTTGCACATATTTGGCATCGCGCGTGCTTCCTGTTTCCAAGCCAGGCAGTCCCCTCATATAGCCTAGGCTACTCATTTGCAACTGATGAGTCTCTCAGATTTTTCACTCATCAAAAACTGGATTTGTGTTGACATTTGAATGGACACCTGCTGAATGTCACAAGACATGCATTATTTTTAATGATTTTATTATTAACGTTTATATTTTTGGCAGACATGGATGAACCGTAATAAACACACTCAACACCACACAGTCAAATACAGTGCTCCAGCCCATGAAAGAAAAATACATTGGAGTAAATACTTTTTTCACTGGAAAATACATGCATTGTAAGGCCATAAACGTAGAGGTTTGAGTTGTTTTGACAGACCGTATGTGTTGTCTGTGTTAGCCTCCCCTAGTCCAGGCTTCAGTGCTTTTCTAGCCCTGTGCATCTCAAATCAGGAGTTTAGTCTGCTGTAGTGTCTGTTTATGGATGGATATGAGGATGTAGAAAGACAGCTGGAGAAGCTGGGAAATCACATGCCAGTGGAAGTAAACTGCAAGCTTTGTGTCTGCTGGGATAAAGAGTGAGAGGATGTCAGCTAATCGTTTTACCTAGGGCTTACTGTGATGTTTGTTTGAATGTTTGTTCTCTTCGCTGGGTCGGTGCTAGCTGTAAAGAGGCTGATGAAGGAGGCAGCTGAACTGAGGGACCCCACAGAGCACTACCACGCCCAGCCACTGGAGGTGAGTCACACCTGGGACACCCAAACTCACTTGGGCTCATCATCAGCACAACAAACATCCCAGTTCTCCTCATTATCAACATAGTGTTTTTGTCATGGGTGTGTACTTCCCTATGTTTCTTACAAGTCAACAAACAACCCCACACAAAACCCATAGAGAAGGATGTTCTCTAGCTAGCTGGGCCAATCATTGAAATGTGTTCATTTGACTGACTTGTTGTGTACCCGCAGGATAATCTGTTTGAGTGGCACTTCTCTGTCCGCGGGCCCCCTGACTCGGATTTTGACGGTGGGGTTTACCACGGCAGGATCGTGCTGCCCCCGGAGTACCCCATGAAGCCCCCCAGCATCATTCTACTCACAGTAAGCAACCAAAACACACACACACTTATGACGATATCCCCCTCTCTCGATCAATCACAGCCAATTATGTGTTAGTTGAAGTAACGACGAAAGGCAGCTAATCAAATGATCAAGGCTGGAAGATGGACAGCTATAGACATCTTGCCATAACCAACAGCCACATCTGGTTACATCACACCGAGCCACTACTGTCAGAACAAAGACCTGGCTGTCTTTGCACTGTCATTGCACTCACTAACTGTAAGTCGCTCTGGATAAGAGTGTCTGCTAAAAATGACTAAAATGTCCCTGTCACAGAGGATTTGAATGGTTCTGTGGTAAAGAAGAGGGGATGTGTTTTTCATGCACCAATAATAACCTGAAGAACCAATGACGGGCTCATAAAAGCCAGTGGATCAGAAAGGTTGTTAGTCTTTTTTTATGTCCAGTCTTTGAAGGCACTCTTTCTTTCTCTTAAAATCCCTCCCATCAACCACCCCCAGCCTCCCTCCACCCTGCCCCTCTGTATGTTTTACACTCTCCTTGTTGCTTGTTCAGCCTGGTTGTCATAGACAGCGATATGGTAATCAAGATCTTATCATACAAATCCTATAAATCACTACTCTATATTATATATGTGTTCTATATGTAATTCTATGTTAATGCTTCTTTTTCAGCCCAATGGGAGATTCGAGGTGGGGAAGAAGATCTGTCTGAGCATCTCCGGCCACCACCCAGAGACATGGCAGCCATCTTGGAGCAGTAGGTATCCCTGTGTAGCAGGTGTCACTGCCTGCTTAACAGTATAGCTTCCTTCCTCACTGGTACTCGATTTCGGATCCTCTGCCTCGCAAACACACGTGACTGCCCGCTTGATAACATCTTAGCCAACAACGCTACCGAAATTCTAGCAGTTCGGTAGTGCGAGTAGAGAAATTTCAAGCATGAGAGTCAGGTTACCAATCCAACTCCGTTACACCTGCAGCTATAGGCCCGATAGCTAGGCCCTGTCTCCTCTAGCCTGGAGACCCACACACACCCAGCTCCCCACACACACCCGGCTCCCCACACATTCCTTGTTCCCCTACTCCTCCAGCTGCTGCACTAAAACTTAGCCTAGCATCCCCACTCACTTGCTCTCTGCCTGGAAGGGACCAACAGGAAGAAATTACAGATGAAAGGAAAACTCCACCCAAAAACTATATTTTGGTATTTGTTTCATTAGTCCATTGTTGACATAGTCCCAAAATGTTTAGCTTGTCAGCAATCAAGTTTTCAAGATATGTAACTTTCAAAATACAGAAATCATATTTTTTTGCAAAATGCATCATACAGGGATGATTTCTGTATTTTGAAAGTTACATATTTTTGAAAGCAAAACATTTTGGGACTATGTCAACAATGGATTAATGAAACAAATACCAGAAGATAGTTTTTGGGTGGAGTTTTCCTTTAAGACTTCATTAGAATTTAAATTAAGGCAGATATGCAAATGTTTTTTTGCTCAACGTTGTTCTAGATCATTGGGCTTTTTCCCAGCAATTTAAGGAGTCGAAACTGGAAGCGGCTGAAAAGAAGACTTCCTAGCAGAACAAAGTAAATAAGAGAAAGTGTCACTGGAAATATAGATTTGGCTCGCACATCTTATTCGCTCACAAAGATCTGTGTTGGCAGCAGGCAATACGCTACTTCCTTCGTACCTAAAGTCTGATATTTCCATTCTTTTCTGGCCTGATTTCAGTTACCACTGTTAAGCCATTCTTTTTCTGAGTGTTCTCATGTTACTCTCCGTACCAAAAGTATGAAAATGTTATCAGATAGAATTCAATGGGAGAATATAGATATGCCACGCTGCATTTATTTCTATTACTTTAGGGGTATTTTGGATGAGCCAAAAAAAGCTTAGTCCATAGTAAGGGTTTGGGAATTAATAACATAATGTAATCATGTGGACAAACCGGTTGTGACAGACAAACTCCCCCTTTTGCCCTGCAGGGTCACATGGCAAGCCAATGAGGCCATGGCCCAGAGATTGGACATCCCCTGCTGGGTTTTTGGTGTCTCAGCTCTCCAGTACAAGTTCACTCGGATGCATTAACAGCTCACTGTGGTGGAAAAGCTGGATAATAAGTTCCAGTGGAATCTCAATGCCCAAATACACTGAACAAAAATATAAACGCAACATGTAACAATTTCAAAGATTTTACTGAATTACAGTTCATATAAGGAAATCAGTCAATTGAAATCAAATCATTAGACCCTAATCTATGGATTTCTCATGACTGGGAATACAGATATGCATCTGTTGGTCACAGATACCTTAAAAAAAAAAAAAGGTTAGGGAAGTGGATCAGAAAACCAGTCAATATCTGGTGTGACCACCATTTGCCTCACGCAGCACGACACATCTCCTTCGCATAGAGTTGATCAGGCTATTGATTGTGGCCTGTGGAATGTTGTCCCACTCCTCTTCAATGGCTGTGCCAAGTTGCTGGATATTGGTCGGAACTGGAACACGCTGTCGTACACGTCGATCCAGAGCATCCCAAACATGCTCAATGGGTGACACGTCTGGTGAGTATGCAGGCCATGGAATTGTGTACAGATCCTTGCGACATGGGGCCGTGCATTATCATGCTGAAACATGAAGTGATGGCGGTGGATGAATGGCACGACAATGGGCTTCAGGATCTCGTCACGGTATCTCTGTGCATTCAAATTGCCATTGATAAAATGCAATTGTGTTCGTTGTCCGTAGCTTATGCCTGCCCATACCATAACCACACCGTCTCCATGGGGCACTCTGTTCACAACGTTGACATCAGCAATCCGCTCACCCACACGATGCCATTCATGCTGTCTGCCATCTGCCCAGTACAGTTGAAACCGGGATTCATCTGTGAGGAACACACTTCTCCTGCATGCCAGTGGCCATAGAAGGTGAGCATTTGCCCACTGAAGTCGGTTATGACGCCGAATTGCAGTCAGGTCAAGACCCTGGTGAGGACGACAAGCACGCAGATGAGCTTTTTGTGCGTATGGAACGTTTCTGGGATATATTTTTTTAGCTCATGAAATGTAACAAACACTTTAGATGTTGCGTTTATATTTTTGTTCAGTATAGCACCCTATTCACTTTATAGTGCCTCTAGGCCTCTGATCAAAAGTAGAGCACTATTAAGGGAATAGGGTTCTTTTTGGGATGCAACCAATGTCACCGGAGGGCCAGCCACATTGATTCCTAGCTTATGCTTGTTTTGCAGTACATGAGCCTACGCTTACTGGTTTAATAATTTGTGGAGAGAGAATTCACACTGATATCACCTTGAGAGCATTCTTCAACTAAATCATTATCTGTTGAAGCAGGCTTTCACTGGGTAGCAAGCCTCCTTAACCTCTCTCTCTTCTCTTTCCCTTCAGCTGTTTTCTCACTAGCTGTCCATTTTCTGCCTCCCGTTAGCCTGCTGCTGATGTTTAGACTTGATTTCATTGCTGCTTATTATATCCCCCCAAAAATGGTGAAAGTGTTGTAGTCTATGCCCTTTCTAGACTTTTTAAAAAGTTTGTTCATTCAAATCATCCATGGATTTTGAGCTGTTCATCAAATCAACATCCAGGTGCTCTGAGGTTGAATAGAGAAACCCCCCTGAAGCAGCCATATCATTGAAATGTGGAGAAGCTCTCTCTGTCTCCTGAACATATTGTTATACAGTGGGGAAAAAAAGTATTTAGTCAGCCACCAATTGTGCAAGTTCTCCCACTTAAAAAGATGAGAGGCCTGTAATTTTCATCATAGGTACACGTCAACTATGACAGACAAATTGAGAAAAAAATATCCAGAAAACCCCATTGTAGGATTTTTTATGAATTTATTTGCAAATTATGGTGGAAAATAAGTATTTGGTCACCTACAAACAAGCAAGATTTCTGGCTCTCACAGACCTGTAACTTCTTCTTTAAGAGGCTCCTCTGTCCTCCACTCGTTACCTGTATTAATGGCACCTGTTTGAACTTGTTATCAGTATAAAAGACACCTGTCCACAACCTCAAACAGTCACACTCCAAACTCCACTATGGCCAAGACCAAAGAGCTGTCAAAGGACACCAGAAACAAAATTGTAGACCTGCACCAGGCTGGGAAGACTGAATATGCAATAGGTAAGCAGCTTGGTTTGAAGAAATCAATTGTGGGAGCAATTATTAGGAAATGGAAGACATAAAAGACCACTGATAATCTCCCTCGATCTGGGGCTCCACGCAAGATCTCACCCTGTGGGGTCAAAATGATCACAAGAACGGTGAGCAAAAATCCCAGAACCACACGGGGGGACCTAGTGAATGACCTGCAGAGAGCTGGGACCAAAGTAACAAAGCCTACCATCAGTAACACACTACGCCTCCAGGGACTCAAATCCTGCAGTGCAAGACGTGTCCCCCTGCTTAAGCCAGTACATGTCCAGGCCCGTCTGAAGTTTGCTAGAGTGCATTTGGATGATCCAGAAGAGGATTGGGAGAATGTCATATTGTCAGATGAAACCAAAATATAACTTTTTGGTAAAAACTCAACTCGTCGTGTTTGGAGGACAAAGAATGCTGAGTTGCATCCAAAGAACACCATACCTACTGTGAAGCATGGGGGTGGAAACATCATGCTTTGGGGCTGTTTTTCTGCAAAGGGACCAGGACGACTGATCCGTGTAAAGGAAAGAATGAATGGGGCCATGTATCGTGAGATTTTGAGTGAAAACCTCCTTCCATCAGCAAGGGCATTAAAGATGAAACGTGGCTGGGTCTTTCAGCATGACAATGATCCCAAACACACCGCCCGGGCAACGAAGGAGTGGCTTCGTAAGAAGCATTTCAAGGTCCTGGAGTGGCCTAGCCAGTCTCCAGATCTCAACCCCATAGAAAATCTTTGGAGGGAGTTGAAAGTCTGTGTTGCCCAGCGACAGCCCCAAAACATCACTGCTCTAGAGGAGATCTGCATGTAGGAATAGGCCAAAATACCAGCAACAGTGTGTGAAAACCTTGTGAAGACTTACAGAAAACGTTTGACCTGTGTCATTGCCAACAAAGGGTATATAACAAAGTATTGAGAAACTTTTGTTATTGACCAAATACTTATTTTCCACCATAATTTGCAAATAAATTCATTCAAAATCCTACAATGTGATTTTCTGGATTTTTTTTTCTCATTTTGTCTGTCATAGTTGATGTGTATCTATGATGAATATTACAGGCCTCTCTCATCTTTTTAAGTGGGAGAACTTGCACAATTGGTGGCTGACTAAATACTTTTTTTCCCCACTGTAAGTGTCCCATCATGTCATCTGGAGAATTATATTTGAGGAGTTGCAGTGGTGAATGTCCTCAGAGAGGCTCTGTAAATCTAGGCTTACACAGTAGAAAACAAAGCATTCCTCCCACAACGCATTACATAACATGGGCGGCTAACTTTACAGAATGTGCTGTGGTATTTCATGTGATTTAGTGACTCACTTTATCCACTGCTGTTACGAGTTGACAGACATAAGTTTTGTCTTTCATAACTTTTTTGTTTCCCCCTTGTTTTTTTGTCTTTCAGTCAGAACGGCATTAATAGCTATAATCGGATTCATGCCAACCAAAGGAGAGGGTGCAATCGGATCTCTTGATTATACCCCAGAGGAGAGGAGAGCCCTTGCCAAAAAGTAAGATTACAGAGATTAAAGCTCTCCACTGTTTACTGTCTTTCCAGTGTATTTACCCTGTGTGCACTAACGGATAGATGGATTTATGGATGGATGGTGCTGATAACAATGCTGTGAGAAGGGGGGGGACACAACAGTCTGGAGTGATATGTCTGTATGCATTTTGTTTCAATGTGTGCCTAACCCTTACACGCATCATTACACAATACACACATTAGGCCTGTATGTATGTTGGATACTGGTATGGTATCACGCACTAGCTTTACATACAATTAGATGGACTAGCTGTACTTGCAGAACATATGGTTATGGGCAGGCATTTGTTCAACAAAGTTGGCATAAAGCGATGCTTATGCACGCATGTCATGTAATTAACACGTTGGCCACAGTGGATGTGCCCTCTACAAATAGCTATGCTCATTACAAGGGAAACCAAGGCACCAGCATTGGACCTTATGAGATGGCAGCATTAGCGCCTGAGGGAAAGGCTCTCTGGCTGCAACGTCTGGGCATGTTGATTCTCTTCTTCTCGCATTGTTACGGGTCTCTCCCTCTGAAGAAACTCGCTCTGAGTTTGAGATTGATAAAAAAGATCAAGGGGTCCAGCGACTGCATCCCGAATGGCACCCTATTACCTTTAAAGGGCTCTGGTCAAAAGTAGTGCACTATAAAGGGAATCGGGTGCTATTTGGACCGCATCCCAGATGACTGTCTGTTCTATTAACATATCAGGACAGGGGTCTTTAACGACTGGCTGTTTAATTAACACATGAAGATAAGATGTGACACAGGAACATATCCCTGTCTATAAATACATACAGTGCACAGCCTGCCTGCCTGCCTGTTTATCTTCCGGGATGAAAGAAAGGCCCGTTTCACAAAAGGCTGTCGTGTCTGCGGCTGAGACAGCAACTTCGCTTTGATTCAGATCTCCCGTCTTGGTTGTCTCCGTGCCCTGTGGTAATTGTGAAAGCTGTCAGTCAACGTCAGGGCCAGGGGCACCCAGCAGGAAGCAGCGAAACAGAATAATAATCCATAGTTTTCAGAGTTGGCTCTGTTTCCTGACAGAAAAGTAAACTGCTAGAGAAGTGTCGTGGAAATTCTTACACAGGGACACTTGAAGTCAATCTTAAATGAATCATTGTTTGTCAGTGCGCTGGAGAGTTCCAGCGCACTGACAATAAACAAACCTCATGCACCATAGTGAACGTCTGTCAGGAGCTCTAACGGGGCAGTCCTGTTTAGTTCTCTTATATACTGCAGACTAGTCATATTTGCATGATTTAGCTTATTCATAATTAATTAATCATTAACGTTTGCTTCATTCATGTGACCGACCAATACTGGGTCATGCATGTGACAGACCAATACCTCACGAGGCTTCTTCTCTCTAAGCTGAGACCTTGAAACTGAGATATCCTTTCTCTAAACAAGGTTCTGGGCGTACTGCCAAATTGCAGACACTAATAGTGAGGATTTGTTCAATCAGTCACTTGCATGAACATAGAAATTGCTAAATAGAAAATAAATGTTTGTTTGTGCTATCACAGAAGTTTTGCTGGCTGCCAGACTGCTGTAATGACGAGCGTTAATAACGCAGAAGTTGGAGGGGGAAAACATTTCAGATGGTTGTCTTTTTTGCCTATTAAAGCATGATATTGGTTGGGGGGAATATTACATTGGAAGAACAGCAACTCTTGGGATGTCATGCTTAACTTCATTGATGGAATTGTATCTTTTATATTTATATTATTGTAACTGTCAATATCGCTCTCCAAGCCACAGTTGAATATTTTCTTCACAAAATGAGTTTAAATCATTGTACTCCTGAGTGGCGCAGTGGTCTAAGGCACTGCATCGCAGTGCTAACTGTGCCACTAGAGATCCTGGTTCGAATCCAGGCTCTGTCGCAGCCGGCCGCGACCGGGAGACTCATGGGCGGCGCACAATTGGCCCAGCGTCGTCCAGGGTAGGGGAGGGAATGGCCGGCAGGGATGTAGCTCAGTTGATAGAGCATGGCGTTTGCAACGCCAGGGTTGTGGGTTCGATTCCCACGGGGGGCCAGTATAAAAAAATATGTATTCACTAACTGTAAGTCGCTCTGGATAAGAGCGTCTGCTAAATGACTAAAATGTAAATGTAAATGTAAATCCATATGGCTTGTCAAATTGCATGAGTCATCTTTGACAAACCAAATCTCCAAGAAGTTTGTGTACGTTTAGTTCTAAATTTGATATTGTTCTGCTTGGAGCTCCAGCAAACGACTCAGGGCTCTATTTTAACAAACCTAATAATAATAATATGCCATTTAGCAGACGCTTTTATCCAAAGCGACTTACAGTCATGCATGCATACATTTTTTGTGTATGGGTGGTCCCGGGGATCGAACCCACTACCCTGGCGTTACAAGCGCCGTGCTCTACCAGCTGAGCTACAGAGGACCACTAACGCAATGGTACATTTTAGTGCTGGTGGTAGCGTCATTGGTTCGGTTCAGGGTGTGTCAGAAATATTTTCGTTATTTTCACAACCGGCATTAAGGTCGCGGTGGCATGAAAGTGCTGGGTTTTGATGAATAAACAAGTTGTGGGTGTGTCGAAGCTTGGCCCCTCACTGGTCAATCAGAACTTGCGCCAAGGCTAAATAATTGGTTGCTTCAAATTGTTTATTTATGGTATTTTATGTATTGCATTGTCATCAACTACAAATCAAATGTTAGTCTGTTATAGCCTAGTTATTTAAATAGCCTGCCCCATATTTGCTAAATATGTTGAACATGTTTTCAGTCCACATTGTTATAATTGCATTGCTTCAATATGAAAATACATTGTTAACGGAGAATTTGATGTAAATGACATGTTATAGAAGGGTCCAGACACTTTTTCTTTAGCGATTTCACTTGTTATTGAGAAACATTTTAATTTCCTTGTCCTCGTTGTGCAGTATGGGGGCTCTGAAAAAACATAAAGAAAGCCTCCGAAAACGCCCAAATACATCCTTATAGATACGGAAAAGCTCTCAGTATTGTGATGCAGGTCTTTAGATGTTGTACGCATGAAATTGTCATTCCGAACTTAATCCGCAACTTTATATTCCATGGATAATAAGAAGATTGTGGGAGCTGTTTTGTTAGACTGCTGCTGAAAAAACGTAAGTGTTATGGCTTTACATCCTCTGCCATATCGTGGATAGAGAGCTACCTATCTAACAAAACACAGAAGGTTTTCTTTAATGGAAGACTTTCTAATGTAAACCAGGTAGTGTGCTATACCTCAAGGCAGCGCTCTTAGTCCTTCACTGTTTTCTATTTGTGACCCATTTCAAGAAGTTAGGCGTATGTCGCAAGTCACTACTTCACAGGAGAGGCATTTGAACGTTTTTCTTGTTCAGTTTCTTTATGCGTTTTTGGGGCAGAAATGCCTTTTGGAACATGTGAACTTTCATGTTCCTTAATAACAAACGTGTATGCATTTATAAATATGAATTGTTAAATTACAAGCCTAGTTGGTTTAGCCACAGAAAAAGACAGGAACTTTCCCGCTAGCCATGATTGGCTGAGAATGCATAGGCTGGACATGACGAGAGATGGGTTCGGATTGTTCTGCCATGTAGCACACTTCTGTCTACAACATGAGCTGCTCAGTATGTGTAGATAATCCTTGCTACCGCAGCTTTTTTGAAAGATATAACGTGACTTGATACAACAACGGGTCAAACAAGCTGTAGCTAGCTACTAACCAAACTGAAAAGACACGCTACCGTGAAGCATTCATCCATGTATATGGGTAAGAGTCTAGCTACATTTTCAGATATAATACATTTCTAATTTTGTCAGTCATTTTTATTGCAAGTTAAAGCATACTGTTAGCTAGCTAGCGAACATTAGCTTGCTGGCTTGCTATTTAACGTTACGCGTATGATCTGATATTATTTGTATCTCAGAAATCCATTTGCATTGCTAGTTATAGCCTAATGTTAGCTAGCTAGCTAACATTGAACCTAGTTGGTTAGCTTTAGCTACCTGCCGATTCATACTCCAGCATTTCATGCATAGTGGCTAGCTATGACAATCCATTTGTACTGTAGCTATGGGTTTGGATTATGGTTCATTGTTTAGCTAGCTTGCTACATGTCTAAACAAAAGACTCCACTTCGCAAGAGAATGAGTACATGACCCATCAAGTTACCGAGGTGTGTCTGGGGGGGATTACGGCTATCTATTGTATTTCATAAATGTGTACATGTCTAGACAATAGTGACCCATCCACTTAGCTAGATGTGGCTGGGGGTGGTTATAGCATTTATTCCACATGACACATCAATTTAGACAAGTGTTTGGGTAAGCGTCATCCAATAATGATAAAATATTTATAACTGGACACTTTCAAAGTCAGATTAGGATATAGGCCAAGGACTAGATAGTGTATTTTTACCTGGAGTTTTTCCTTATTGTAAAGAGATGAGTGGGGCTAAGGCTTAAGAGCAGCTTGGTGAGAAGGTGACAACAGTTGGTGCGATTATTCGCAAATGGAAGAAACACAAAATAACTGTCAATCTCCTTCGGACTGGGGCTCCATGCAAGATCTCACCTCGTGGAGTTGCAATGATCATGAGAACGGTGAGGAATCTTGTCAATGATCTCAAGGCAGCTGGGACCATAGTCACCAAGAAAACAATTGGTAACACACTACGCCCGCAAGGTCCGCCTGCTCAAGAAAGAACATATACAGGGCCGTCTGAAGTTTGCCAATGAACATCTGAATGATTCAGAGGAGAACTGGGTGAAAGTGTTGTGGTCAGATGAGACCAGAATCGAGCTTTTTGGTATCAACTCAACTCGCCGTGTTTGGAGGAGGAGGAGGAATGCTGCCTATGACCCCAAGAACACCATCCCCACCGTCAAACATGGAGGTGGAAACATTATGCTTTGGGGGTGTTTTTCTGCTAAGGGGACAGGACAACTTCACCGCATCAAAGGGGCGATGGACGGGGCCATGTATCGTCAAATCTTGGGTGAGAACCTCCTTCCCTCAGCCAGGGCATTGAAAATGGGTCGTGGATGGGTATTCCAGCATGACAATGACCCAAAAGACACGGCCAAGGCAACAAAGGAGTGGCTCAAGAAGAAGCACATTAAGGTCCAGGAGTGGCCTAGCCACTCCCCAGACCTTAATCCCATAGATAATCTGTGGAGGGAGCTGAAGGTTCGAGTTGCCAAACGTCAGCCTCAAAACCTTAATGACTTGGAGAAGATCTGCAAAGAGGAGTGGGACAAAATCCCTCCTGAGATGTGTGCAAACCTGGTGGCCAACTACAAGAAATGTCTGACCTCTGTGATTGCCAACAAGGGTTTTGCAATGAAGTACTAAGTCATGTTTTCCAGAGGGGTCAAATACTTATTTCCCTCATTAAAATGCAAATCAATTTATAACATTTTTGTCTCTCACTGATCAAATAAACCTACCATTAAAATTATAGACTGATCATGTCTTTGTCAGTGGGCAAACGTACATAATCAGCAGGGGATTAAATACTTTTTTTTCCCCCTCACTGTATTTGTCGTCTTGCTCAGTTGTGCACCGGGGCCTCCCACTCCTCTTTATATATTTTGGTTAGAGCCAGTTTGCGCTGTTCTGTGAAGGGAGTAGTACACAGCGTTGTACGGGATCTTCAGTTTCTTGGCAATTTCTCGCATGGAATAGCCTTCATTTCTCAGAACAAGAATAGACTGACGAGTTTCAGAAGAAAGTTATTTGTTTCTGGCCATTTTGAGCCTGTAATCGAACCCACAATTGCTGATGCTCCAGATACTCAACTAGTCTCAAGAAGGCCAGTTTTATTGCTTCTTTAATAAGCGCAACAGTTTTCAGCTGTGCTAACATAATTGCAAAAGTGTTTTCTAATGATCAATTAGCCTTTTAAAATGATAAACTTGGATTAGCAAACACAACGTGCCATTGGAACACAGGACTGATGTTTGCTGATAATGGGCCTCTGTACGCCTATGTAGATATTCCATTAAAAACCAGCCGTTTCCAGCTACAATAGCCATTTACAACACTAACAATGTCTACACTGTATTTTAATGGACAAAAAAAAAAGGCTTTTCTTTCGAAAAAAATGACATTTCAAAGTGACCCCAAACTGGTCAGGTGCTCCAAAGAAGGACATAGGCAAATTATAGTTTGCCCAGAGCAGAACGGCTGGCCCTTAAATGTACACTGAGGGATAATATCAAGAACATGCATGTCAATCTCTCCTGGCTCAAAGTAAAAGTAGAGGAGATAGACTGCATCACTACTTGTCTTTGTGCAAGATATTGACGTGTTGAAATCACGTCAATAGACATACACACACACACACACACACACACACACGTTGCAATATTGTACATATTATGAATTATATTAATATTGTACATTAGGAATATTGGAGCAATGTAAATGTGTATAATGCACAATGTCTTGTATGATGTATTGTTTTATTTATGATGTAGACTGTTGTTTTATTATGATGTATTGTTTTATTTATGATGTAGACTTTTGTTTAATATGATGTATTGTTTTATTTATGATGTAGACTTTTGTTTTATTATGATGTATTGTTTTATTTATTATGTAGACTTTTGTTTTATTATGATGTATTGTTTTATTCCTGTTTGGACCCCAGGAAGAGTAGCTGCTGCCTGGGCAGCAGGTAATGGGGATCCTAGTAAATACAGTACTAAATACTAAATGTACACAAATCCAGGCCCTCTTTTGCTTAGAGGACTGTTAGGGGTGAATTATTTCCCCTCATTTATATACTGAGTTTATATATTGAGTCACATGTTCTCTACCCAGCTTGTCAGATTAATCCATTTGGCTCCTGGAAAACCAAGAAAATTCGATGTAAACCCTTTTGTCCATAACTCACACTCTCTCTCGCTGACCCTCTGACAGATCCCAGGACTTCTGCTGTGAGACCTGTGGCTGCTCCATGCACTTAGCCCTCCTGGCTCCCTCCCCTACAAACCCCAGCCCAGAGGACCAAGAGGACCAAGCGCTCGCCCAGCAGATCAACTTCAAGGTACAACTGCCTACCAGCCACAATCCTACCCCAGGCACGATGTGGTGTTGTTTATTTACATTCTAGTCTAGTCAATTTTCTTCAAAACCTTTACCAGATGTCAGAACTGGATGCAACGCGTGTTTCCATGTCTTAACCCGTTTCTGCAGTCAAGCAGTCAGACAGCAAAATAGCAAAGACGGGGCTTTGCACCCGAGGCATATTGTCTCAGCCCGCTGACAAGAGCTAGAGTACATAGTGGGTGACAGCAACCGTCATCTGTGTGTTGCTTCCTGCAGGCAGAGTCCAGGCAGGGCAGTGAGAGCACAGGGGCGGAGAGTGGGCCCCCAACAGAACCCCAGGGAGAGACATCCACCTCGGGGAGACAGGAGGAAGAAGAGAACGCCCAGGCTGAGCAGGTGAGAAACACCACCAGGGTTATACTAGCTGGTGATGGACTGTGAGATCAGCCAATTAAAATCCAGCAGCACTTTTTCCTGCTCCTGACATAGGCTCCATTCAAGTCCTTTTCTGAGGCACTGTGAAAACAGACGGTTGGAAAGCGAGAGAGAGCTGGCTGGTGGATGAGAATACCCTGCACCACAAACCTCCCACCTACACATATTTTAATAACCTATGTCTGCCACCTACGTGGGCAGAGAAACAACTGCATACTGAAGATATTTGCTATACTGGGGGATTATTCATGTATTTGCCATAGAAGAGGTTGGCATGGTTGCACACGATTGTGCCGCCTTGTCGCAGACGACGTCCCGAAGACTGTTTTCTCCAGCGACGTTGTCGTTATTATTCCAGAGCCATTAAATTAAATAGTTATTTATGAGAGGTATAGAGAGGAGCAGCGGGGGGTCCCTGGGCTCCAGAACGTGGTATAAAAGGGAGAGCATGGCAATGTTGTTACCCCGTAAATGATCCCTCATCTCTCATAGTGCTTTATGTAATATCGTGGCTCCGCTGTTCTCCGCTGTGCTGCATCGGCCACTGTCACTCACTCGGTGAACAGCGCTTTTTTAAATCACTGTGTTTAATGGCTCGGGAGATAATCATACTGTATGATGACGGTGCACGCAGCACTCTGCTCTCTGGCCCTACAGGTTCTTCACTGTGCACCAACTCACTGCTAGTGAGGCATGATGCCACTTTATTGCAGTCCCCTATGACAACACTCAAAATAACTGATGTGTTTTCTTATAAACCGATTACAGCTAGAAATCGGTGTTATAATGTATTATTTAATGGTATAATTATTTATTTGGAAAACATGATAGCAATTTTGAGATGACAGTTTCCAAGCATGGTAAAGATGAACGAAGGGATTGTTTCTTCATGCTTCATACATAAGGGTCTATGTAGATTGGGATTAAATCCTTCTGAACTGAACTGACCTGAGTAGGAGAGAGAAAACATTTTACTTGCCATCTGCTGCTGGATGCAGTAACAAACGACCGATATAACCTCTGGCCGGGAGAGGGGCCGGCAGACATTATCCCCATAGAAATAATCATTCTGGTTCTGTGGTTATCCCACACCTTAACTGCATCATGACTGTCTGCCTTGCTCTTCCTATATCAAACTGAACAGAGTGATATAGGCAAGGATTATAGCGCATTGTTCACCGCTCTCTACTCTGTCCCAATGTCTCTCTCTGCGCGCCAGCCCTCCCTGGCCTGCAGCCATCCCCTAACTAGGAGGAGTGGGATTCAGCTTTCTCTCTCTGTGTAAAACCTGAACTGTACCCTATTTCTCACTGTTTAGTCGTCACCCTTAAAGCCACTTTAAACAATCCTGTTCCCCCTTAAAGCAACCAACTGTAGTCTTTTTGGTTGCTATGACTGTACTGTATTTTACTGTACTGTTATTCCCAAGACCAACTGTTAAGTAAGATGCACATTTTCTGAGAAGATCATGAATTAATCTCTTAAGGATCGGACCGTTTATTTACCCCAATCTAACTGCCTGAAGCTCAGGACCTGAAGCAAGGACATGCCTATTCTTGATACCATTTTGAAAGGAAACACTTTGAAGTTTGTGGAAATGTGAAATTAATGTAGGAGAATATAACACATTAGATCTAGTAAAAGATAACAAGTGTTTTTGTTTGTATTATCTTTTATTATTTTTTATCTTAAATGCAAGAGAAAGGCCACAATATATAATTGCAGTTTAGGCGCAATTTAGATGTTGGCCAATAGATGGCAGCAGGGTGTGCAAAGTTTCAGATTGATCCAGTTGAAGCATTGCAATACTGGACTATTTTGTATCAAGTCTGCCCAAATGTGCCGAATTGGTCAATTGATACATTTTCAAGTACATAACTATAGAGAACGTACAAAAATGATATGTTAAGTTTACACACTCCCAGGAATGTCATACATGATGGATCATTAGCTTATACATTTTTTACATTTTACATTTTAGTTATTTAGCAGACGCTCTTATCCAGAGCGACATACAGTTAGTAAGTGCATACATTTTCATACTGGCCCCCCGTGGGAAACGAACCCACAACCCTGGCGTTGCAAGCTACAGGGTACTATACACTAACCTTCACACATCTAGATGGCGGGGTGGGTGTGGAGCCAGAGACAGCAGGGGTTCAAACTGTAGAACCGAGTTCCTACATTTTGAATATAAAAATTGATTTTATCAAACAAAACTATGCTACATTTTATCTCTGGGACCCTTAGGATGACAAATCAGAGCAAGATTACTGAATGTAAGTACATTATTTACCTTCAGAGGTGAATGTATCAAACCAGTTGCCGTTGTAAGTTTTTTTGTTTTTGTGCACTCTCCTCGAACAATAGCATGGTCTTTTTTTCACTGTAATAGCTACTGTAAATTGGACGATGCAGTTAGATTAACAAGAATTTAAGCTTTCTGCCCATATAAGACATGTCTATGTCCTGGAAAGTTTGCTGTTACTTACAACAGTCATGCTAATCACATTAGCACGTTAGCTCAACCGTCCAGTGTATGCGACACCGATCCCGTAGAGGTTAAACACCTTTTGCTGTGAAGTAACATCATGTCTCTCTGGTGGTGGGAAAAACCGATGTGCTTCTAGAAAGATGGCCCAAAGTAAGTGTGTGTATGTGGTGACGTGTGTGTGTGTGTGTGTGTGTGTGTGTGTGTGTGTGTGTATTCATGCAGTGTATGTATGTGTGTTGGTCCACTGTCTGATCCTGTATATGCTATGCTGTGCTCACTGCAGGCCGAGGCGGCTCCAGCTGCCAGTGAGGAGGAGGTGAGTCCCCCAGCCCCCAGCATCCACCAGCGCCGGGCCCAGCAGCAACAGAGAGACCAGATAGAGGCCCCCAGCAGGCCCACATTCCCCGCCTTCCCCCACCCTCCTCAGGACGCCAGCCACATGGGCTCTGTGGTGCTCATCGTGGTGCTCACCCTGCTCCTGGCTGCCCTCATCTTCCGCAGGGTCTACCTGACCAACGAGTACAAGTTTGACTACGAGCTGTGACGAGACTAACCTTAACCTCCCCAGACCCACCACCCCCCTGAGTCGAGTGAGTTAACCGCCCCTCCTACCACCTGACCTGACACCCTAGCTGGCAACAAACTGACTTTGTCTTTACCGTGTCAGCCTAGAGCGTGGACAGCCCCCCCACCCCCCCCCCTCTGTTCATAGAGGGTTAGGCATAGCCTTGGTGACTTACTCTCACTAAGTAAAGAGGGCTTGGTTTACAATGAGGGTAACTTGCATTCCTTTGGAGGATGGGGTTGACCACAACACCTCCAAGGTGTCTTCTGTTACTTTGAATTTACTCTAGAATGTACTACATTTTTAAGAATGGGAGTATTGTATCCAAACCTCCCCAGAGGAGAGACTCTGAATCAGACCTGGGTTCAAAAACTATTTGAAATCTTTCAAATACTTGGTTTTTGCTCTAGCCTGCCTGGGATGCCAGTTGTTTTGTTTTGGGATTATTCTATTGGTCCATGTAGCCAGGCAAGCTCAAGCAAGCACAGATAAAGTATGTGAAATGATTTCAAATAGTATTTGAACCCAGGTCTGCTCTATATCTCCTTTTTAATTTGTCAGGCATCTGTTTATCATACGGACTGCCGATTGCTCTCAATATTTAGACAAGAATGATGTGTCATATAACATGTAAACAATGAAGGATAATAAATTGTCTCAAAATAATTATTTAATTGTGCACAGGGAAGCAATATGCATAACATATTGTATATAGATAAGATGCTAACAATTTCTGTTCAACTGTTATTTCTGACTGGCTAGCCAATGCTCTGGCTGTTCCTACTTAGCAGCAGCATATACAACCTAGCTATTATCCGTACTGTACGTCTGTCAATCTTATAGCCTGAGTGCCAGTCTGTTTCTGCTCTCTTGCCAACTTTGTCAATCATGTGCTTAAATGAAAGGGAGATTATAAGAGCCTGTACGACTATAGCCTACCTTTTGAAGTCCTCAAAAGAAATGGGATTGGGGACTAATGCAGAGGTTTAAATGTTGTGTGCACATTTTACTTCAAAGCAAATATAATGACCAGAGTAGGTCCTCTCGTAAGTCGGGGTCTCATGATATCTGAAACATGTAAGACAGCTTGGTTCATGTGCATACTGAATTCATTGACAGCTTGGTTCATGTGCATACTGAATTCATTGCAGACAGGTTCACTGTTTCAAGTCTCAAGATGTCATTTACACATCTATCCATCTTTTCAGATTGTATTTTAACCCAACGTACGGTAGGTATGAACATTGTATCAGAAAATAAATGCCTTGGAATTTTTTATTATTTTATGTGTCAGTCTGAAATTGTTTTTTTTTATGTCATGATGGATGGCTGAAAGTAACACTAATTTATCCATTACTACACAAACACACTATTAAGTCATCTGAAGAGCTTCGAACACATTTGATATATGCACATAAAAGATCAGATTTCACCATCCAGTAAGTGTTCTCTAAAATATGTACAGTGCATTCAGAAACTATTCAGACCCCATGACTTTTTCCACATTTTGTTACGTTACAGCCTTATTCTAAAATTGATTAAGTTATTTTTTCCCCCCTAAATCTACACACAATACCCCATAATGACAAAGCAAAAACTGGTTGATTTTTGTTTGTTTGTTGCAAATGTATTAAAAATTGAAAACTTAAATATCACATTTACATAAGTATTCAGACCCTTTACTCAGTACTTTCTTGAAGCACCTTTGGCAGCAATTACAGCCTCGAGTCTTCTTGGGTATAACGCTACAAGCTTGGTACACCTGTATTTGGGGAGTTTCTCCCATTTCTTCTCTGCAGATCCGCTCAAGCTCTGTCAGGTTGGATGGGGAGCGTCGCTGCACAGCTTTCTTCAGGTCTCTCCAGAGATGTTCGATCGGGTTCAAGTCCAGGCTCTGGCTGGGCCCCTCAAGGACATTCAGAGACTTGTCCCGAAGCCACTCCTGCGTTGTCTTGGCTGTGTGCTTAGGGTCGTTGGAAGGTGAACCTTCGCACCAGTCTGAGGTCCTGAGTGCGCTGGAGCAGGTTTTCATTAAGGATGTCTCTGTACTTTGCTCCGTTCATCTTTCCCTCGATCCTGACTAGTCTCCCAGTCCCTGCCGCTGAAAAACTTCCCCACAGCATGATGCTGCCACCACCATGCTTCACCCTAGGGATGGTGCCAGGTTTCCTCCAGACGTGACGCTTGGCATTCAGGCCAAAGAGTTTAATCTTGTTTCTCATGGTCTGAGAGTCCTTTAGGTGCCTTTTGGCAAACTCCAAGTAGGCTGTCATGTGCATTTTACTGAGGAGTGGCTTCCGTCTGGCCACTCTACCATAAAGGCCTGATTGGTGGAGTACTGCAGAGATGGTTGTCCTTCTGTAAGGTTCTCCCATATCCACAGAGGAACTCTGGAGCTCTGTCAGAGTGACCATCATGTTCTTGGTCACCTCCCTGACCAAGGCCCTTCTCCCCCGATTGCTCAGTGTGGCCGGGCAGCCAGCTCTAGGAAGAGTCTTGGTGATTCCAAACTTCTTCCATTTAAGAATGATGGAGGCCACTGTGTTCTTGGGGACCTTCAATGCTGCAGAAATGTTTTCGTACCCTTCCCCAGATCTGTGCCTTGACACAATCCTGTCTCTGAGCTCTACGGACAATTCCTTCGACCTCATGGCTGACATGCACTGTCAACTGTGGGATCTTTATATAGACAGGTGTGTGTCTTTCCAAATCATGTCCAATCAATTGAATTTAACATAGATGGACTCGAATCAAGTTGTAGAAACATCTCAAGGATGATCAATGGAAACAGGATGCACCTGAGCTCAATTTCGAGTTTCATAGCAAAGGGTCTGAATACCTATGTAAATAAAGTATCTGTTTTTTATTTTTAATAAATATGGAAACTTTTCTTAACCGGTTTTTGCTTTGTCATTATGGGGTATTGTGTGTAGATTGATGAGGGGGGAAAATAATTTGATCCATTATTCTAATAAGGCTGTAATGTAACAAAATGTGGAAAAAGTCAAGGGGTCTGAATATGTTCCGAATGCACTGTATATTAGGATATGCACTTGCTGTTCATATGAGACTTGAGTCCATGCCTGTTGCATCATAATTCTATGCATAGAGGTTTAATAAGGACAGGCGCCATATCTACTTTTTGGTTTTTCGGAAGCCCAGACAGCTGTGAGGCTCCTTACATCAGTTGATCGAGGATTCCCTTTGTCATGTAAAAATCTTCCCACCGTGAAATGGTTTCCAATCAATTTCAAGCTAGGACGTTTTTTTACGTGACACCCTGGAATGTGGTCATGTCATTATACTGTAGCTAAACCAGAGCTATTGCTGCGCGCGCGGTGCCTTGGTTTGGAGCGCTTGGAAACCAACCGCTGTAAACCGTGGACCAATCAGGGAGCAATAAGCGGGACAAGCCGCTTGGCTTTGTAAACATATCAGTCGTTGTTACTCATTCAACCCGTACACTGCCTCACTACAATGCCCGTTATCACATGTTCTACTTCGGACCAAAATGTGCTACAATGTTCAAACCATTGCGGACGTGGATTAAAGTGATTGTTTCACTCGTTCGAAGACTTTTGAGTTTTCACACATAATGCCTTATATTAAGTTTCTGTTTTTACTTTTTTGCTTGATACTGATCGGGGAATGCCGAAAGCACAAAAGTAGGAAAAGGAGGTGGTCCGGGGCGGTGGAATCTCACAAGCATGGCGCGTAAGTACCTGGATCCTTACCCTTTTTGACAGTCCATCCAAATGTGTTTCCTTATTTCACTCTTTCGTTTGCACTTTAAAGCAACTGGAGGTCTTCATGTCATCCTCTTTCTTTGTTTCTTTTGTTAAATTCCGCACTTGTGGAACCCTGCGTTCCGTTTGATGTAGCCTAATACTAGGCTATTTATTCGACTAAGTTTGTCACATTCAAAATTATGTATGGCTCGTTTCAGCAATGTTAAACCCGTTACAGTCGTTGACACGGAGACTGTATGTAAATATTAGCGTTATTGGGGTGGTCTCGACTCGATGGTGACTGCGCAATGTGGAAACCGTGCCCGTGCGTAAAGATGATCCAGAGCGCAGTGCGCATATTATGGGAAGGATGCAATCAATGGATGGACCCTGTCTGCGCAGATGTCATGAATCATCTCTATCTGCAAGTGTCATCATCCATACCATTCATCTGAACTTTGCATCATTATTCTGCATCATACTTCACTATCGGTTGTGCCATTCTCCACATCAGATAACCCGTGATGTGTTGCGTCATTGTTAAAAATCTTATCTGTGAGGCTGTTCAATGACACAAAGCTCTCAAATGCACTTTAAGTAGGCTACAGTAAGGGCAGAACATGGTTCATGTAATCTGCAAGATTTAACAGATTTAACAGTTCCATGGGGACAGTGGATTAATCGGGTTCTCAGGATCCCCTGCTGTATTGCAAGTAGCTCTCCAATTATGTTGTTCTTGCTAATTGAGTTACAACGTGACATTTTTGTCCATTAGACATTTATAGGATTACAATACCAGATCAACCACTATAGCATGAAGTGGCAGTCCCCAGGGGACAATGTGCGTTCATTATTAATTGTGCAAAATCACAATCACACCAAGTGTGAAAGTGACACACTGTGAATGCTGGCCAGGTCGAAATGGTTGTCTGATGGCCTAATTAGCCTCCATTCACTCAATAATTGTCACCCCTCTATTTTGGGAGACCCTTGAACAGGGGCAGACTGGGACCAGAAATCGGCCCTGGCATTACTAACACATGCATTCCTTTCCTTGATGCTCCCACACAGGCCCATTTATTTCCTTGAGGCTCTCATTATTAGCCTAAAAACCCAATTTTGCACTACAAACCCAAGTTAGACAGGCCCACTGGGCTAAAAATGGACCAGGCCATTTGGCATTTGCCCGAAATGCCAGATGGCCAGTCCGCCCCTGCCCTTGAAACTGGCATAGGTGCAAAATGCCTAAATGGATGGGTTTTTCCCCTGTCTTCCCTAAACTTTATATCCACGGAACATATAATGTATACAGAGTATGGGAACGAACTTACATTTTACATTTACATTTTAGTCATTTAGCAGACGCTCTTATAATAATAATAATAATAATAATAATAATAATAATAATCCAGAGCGATTTACAGTTAGTGAGTGCATACATTTTCATACTTCCACCCATGTTATCCTCAAACGACAAAGTGTCATGTGGGTTAGATAAACTTACTTTGACAGCAAAGCATGTTTCTCATGATTCTCTGAGGGCAGGCACTACACACACACCCACACATTGCAGTTATGCTCATGCAGAGAAATGGCCCATAAACAGCAATGTTCAATGCTGACAAAAACACCTGACACCACACCTTGAACGAGACAGAAATAATGTTTTTATAAAGAACAGGGTCCGGTTTCCCAAAAGCATCTTAAGGCTAAGTTCATCGTTCAAACCTTCGTAGGAGCATCGCTAAATCTCAGAGCTGTTTCCTAAAACCATCGTTATTGACGTTGCACTTGCAAATGCTCCTAATCTAACGCCTGCCTCAGACCACTTGTAGAACAGCTAAGTGCATCGTTAAATAAAAAATAAAATGTTATTTGCCACATGCGCCGAATACAACATGTGTACACCTTACAGTGAAATGCTTACTTACAAGCCCTTAACCAAAAATTCAGTTTTAAGAAAAGTAAGTGTTAAGTAGAAAATTGATGAATAAAAATAACAAATCATTAAAGACACCGCCTGGTATAGAGGTCCTGGATGGCAGGAAGCTTGGCCCCAGTGATGTACTGGGCCGTACGCACTACCCTCTGTAGTGCCTTGCGGTCGGAGGCCGAGCAGTTGCCATACCAGGCAGTGATGCAACCAGTCAGGATGCTCTCGATGGTGCAGCTGTAGAACTTTTTGAGGATCTGAGGACCCATGCCAAATCTTTTCAGTCTCCTGAGGGGGAATAGGCTTTGTCGTGCCCTCTTCACGACTGTCTTGGTGTGTTTGGACCATGATAGTTTGTTGGTGATGTGGACACCAAGGAACTTGAAGCTCTCAACCTGTTCCACTACAGCCCCGTCGATTTGAATGGGGGCGTGCTCAGTCCTATTCTTTTTCCCTGTAGTCCACAATCATCTCCTTTGTCTTGATCATGTTGAGGGAGAGGTTGTTATCCTGGCACCACACGGCCAGGTCTCTGACCTGCTCCTTATAGGCTGTCTCATCGTTGTCGGTGATCAGGCCTACCATTGTTGTGTTGTCAGCAAACTTAATGAAGGTGTTGGAACAGTGCCTGGCCATGCAGTCATGGGTGAACAGGGAGTACAGGAGGGGACTGAGCACGCACCCCTGAGGGGCCCCCGTGTTGAGGATCAGCGTGGCAGATGTGTTGTTACCTACCCTTACCACCTGGGGCCGGCCCGTCAGGAAGTCCAGGATCCAGTTGCAGAGGGAGGTGTTTAGTCACAGGGTCCTTAACTTAGTGATGAGTTTTGAGGGCACTATGGTGTTGAACGCTGAGCTGTAGTCAATGAATAGCATTCTCACGTAGGTGTTCCTCTTGTCCAGGTGGGAAAGGGCAGTGTGGAGTGCAATAGAGATTGCATCATCTGTGGATCTGTTGGGGCAGTATGCAAATTGGAGTGGGTCTAGGGTTTCTGGGATAATGGTGTTGATGTGAGCCAGCCTTTCAAAGCACTTCATGGCTACAGACGTGAGTGCTACGGGTCGGTTGGTCATTTAGGCAAGTTATCTTAGTGTTCTTGGGCACAGGGACTATGGTGGTCTGCTTGAAACATGTTGGTATTACAGACTCAGTCAGGGACATGTTGAAAATGTCAGTGAAGACACTTGCCAGTTGGTCAGCGCATGCTCGGAGTACACGTCCTGGTAATCCGTCTGGCCCTGCGGCCTTGTGAATGTTGACCTGCTTAAAAGTCTTACTCACATCGGCTACGGAGACCGTGATCACATAGTCATCCGGAACAGCTGATGCTCTCATGCATGCTTCAGTGTTGCTTGCCTCGAGGCGAGCATAGAAGTGATTTAGCTCGTCTGGTAGGCTCGTGTCACTGGGCAGCTCGCGGCTGTGCTTCCCTTTGTAGTCTGTAATAGTTTGCAAGCCCTGCCACATCCAACGAGCGTCGGAGCCGGTGTAGTACGATTCAATCTTAGTCCTGTATTGACTCTTTGCCTGTTTGATAGTTCGTCGGAGGGCATTAGATGCTTTTTTGCCCTCCCGTGTCACTTTATACACAGAAGAGGGCTTTTTTGCCCTCCCGCGTCACTTTATATACAAAGGTTTTCTGTTAAACATAGAATAACATGGTATATCCATCTCTCTGTGACCGCTGATAACTTCATAATAAAGTTGACTACCAATACAAAGTTGCAATATCTTTGCAATTGATACAAACAAGTGACGTATAAAAAGATGCTTCAAATGAAAACCGAATCTTGAGATGATTGCATTAAAATATAAACAGTAGGCTATAGGCCTATTTCAATCATTTTGAAATACATTTAATGTTCAATCAGTTGAGTTCTATTTTGCTTCTTGTAGGCTATTGTCTGTATTTTGTCTCAATATATTTCATGTGTAGCCTAACGTGCGCAATGATGTGCCAAAACTTCACAGTATTGTGAAATAATGTAATGTTAAGAAATATTTTAATGGAGAATACTGACCCGAGAGGAGCGCTCCATTTCTTTCGATCCTATCAGTATCAACACATGCTCCAACGACGCACTTAGCGAACGTTCTCTGCAAGCTGTTTTGGGAAACTAATGTTACATGTTCGGCTATTGTAGGAAAGATCAAACGTGGTCTCAGAGCTTTTCGTATTATTCTGTATGTAAATCCGAGACTCCATTTAGTATGATATGTTACGTTTCATATGGTATGTGTTAATTTGTGGATGTCCATCATCCATTTTGTATGATCTGTTAGGAATTGCAATTTGTACAATATGTTACAACTTTTGAAAAACGTACAATATGTTACGAATTCTAACGCGTTGTAGTTAATGTTAGCTAGGTGGCTAATTCTAACGTTAGCTAGCACTAGTGGTTAAGGTTAGGAATTAGGTTAAAGGGTTAAGGTTAGGGTTAGGGGAAGTGTTAGCTAATATGCTAAGTAACTAAAAGGTATTAAGTAGTTGCAAAGTTGTCCGTGATGAGATTCGAACACGCAACCTTTGGATTGCTAGACGTTTTCGTTAAATGCCCGCCCGCCCATCCGTCTGTTCATCCGTCCATCCAGATTCAGACCAACCAAGCACCCTCCTTTAGTTTTTACCTTAAGTAACCTTATATCTTATGTAACCTTACCAAACGTAATATATCATACTAATTTGAGAGTCCAGGATTGACGTTTACTATGTTACATCTAGTCTATGAGACCAGTCTGGAAAGATGCATCTTTAAAACACTAGTAAACCTAAATTCCATCACTATCGGGAAACCTGGCCCAGGAATGTTATCTGTAATTTCCATGGCAGTTTCATCCATTGCGCAACATCCTTATCTTGATTTCAGAATTCCTGCCAATTGATCCTATTTAAAAGACTCACACTCATGTTGTAAAGTCTGTTCTTACTCCTTATCATTCTGGGTCCGGTTTCCCGATAGTGATGGAACTTAGACTTACGACTGTTTTAACAATGCATCTTAAAAATTACGGCCGGAGATGTCACACCAGTTTCCCAAAACACCTGGTAGTGCACTCGTTACGAAGTGAAACTTAACGGTGTCATTACAGGAGCTGTGTCCCATGCTGAAAATGATTCCAGAATACTGGCTAAAGAGCTCACTGTAGCTCTTAAATGATTTCGGGCTATTCAAAGTAATCTGCTTTTTACATCTTTTTTTTTTTTACACAATACACAAGTTTTCCCATCAAGAGAAGAAATGTTCTGTAGCCTATTATGTATTTAAGTATTTGTATTATATGCTTTCCATGTATTATGTATTCGAAGTGTTTCTCATGCTATTTTGGATGCAATGTTTGATTATGTAAATTAATTATATATTCAGTTTGTGTAAACTGTGAGCAAGAATGAGTAAAGTCAAAGTCGCTCGTTCCACTATAGAAATGATCAACATGACCTAAATATAGGATATGATGATGACAATGGTTTTCGTAATTGCTGAACAAATCACTGTAGCCTAATGGCAGGCAGGAATGTACCTTGAAGTAGGTCTACAGATAGTCAACAATGAAATAATTCAACAATTAAAATAATGAAACATGAAGTAGCAAGTTAAGCGACGTCGCCATAGACCTAATATGTTGACCTTAGGTTATTGGTTAAGCTACAGTGAAATGCGTGAGCTTTTAGATAATAGTAGCCTATACACCTAATATACGAATATTGAAGCGGGTCAGATGGAGCCTAATGGCTTAATAGGTAGGTCAACCTGGTCTCAGAACATTTAATTGTATTCTGTATGTAAATCCATGGCATTCCATTGAGTATAATATGTTACGTTTCGTATGGTATGTATTAATTTGTGGATGTCCATCACCCATTTCGTATGATATGTTATGAATTACAATTTGTACATTATGTTAGGAATTTGCTAAATGTACAATATGTTACAAATGTGCAAAAATGTATGATATGTTACGAATTGTAGCTAGGTGGCGAACTTTAGCCAGGTCGCTAACGTTAGCTAGGGGTTAGGGTTAAGGTTAGGTTAGGGGAAGGGGAAGGGTTAGCTAAAAGGGTTATTGGTTAGGGAAAGGGTTAGCTAACATGCTAAATAGTTAAAAAGTAGTAAGTAGTTAAAGTTGCTAATTAGCTCAAATGCTGAAGTTATCTGTGATGAGATTCGAATTCGCGACCTTTGGGTTGCTAGACATTCGCGTTATACGCCCACCCCGACCAACCACCCTCCTTTCGTTTTTGCCTTAAGTAACCATCTGTTTTACGTAACCATACCAAACTTAACATATCATACTAAATAGATTGTCTCGGATTTACGTACAGAATAATACAAAATACTCTGAGACCAAGTTGGGTAGGTCTATGGATTGCACATACATTTACATGATGTCGATATTTAGCCTAATAAGTTTGCTATTATATAATTATCTCGGTTTTCATTCAACAACAAAAAAATAGGCCTATCCATTCTTCGCTTGTTTATAACATTGCTATCTTTTTAGGCTATTTATATTCAACTGGCTATGAAGTTTTTGGCGGTCACATAGAATGAAGATGTTTCTATGTTTAGCGGGGATTGTGTGTAAAGTGAATCGGGAGGGCAAACAGTGATCTAATAACGCACTTGTTCTACGAGTGGTCTGATGCAGGCGTTAGATTACGAGCGATTTCAAGTGCAACGTTAGGATAATAAAGACGGTTTTAGGAAACGTCTCGGGAATTTTAAAGATGCTCTTACGAAGGTTCTAACGATTAATTTAGCCTTAAAATGGTTTTGGGAATCCGGGCCCTCTTCGTTACATAATCTGACTGTTGTGGTTTGAGGGTCATTTTAAAGGTGGTTCTCTGTAAGGAGTAAGGACTGGATGGAGACAGATAACTGTTATCCACCAATATTTTCAGCAGTAGCCTATTGATTGCCGTTTTTCTTTTGCAGTCCCCTGACTGGAAAAAGGATAGTTGATAACACAAAATCTCACAAATTGAAGACAGACAACCTGCTGAGAGTGGATGACCATGATTTCACCATGAGACCAGCCTTTGCAGGTAAGGACATGGTTCTAAACATCTTGTTGACTGATTGGCTGATTTAACTAAAGTAGACTTCAGAGCCCTGGCAAAGGGGCCCTGATATCACTGTTCAGATAATGGTTGCAAAATTGTTCCTTGAGTGCTGCAGTGTATGTTTGTTCCATGTTTGTACTTCTTGGGCAATCAGGTGGTTGCCCTCTCTGGGCAACCAATTAATGGCTCTGAACATTAATTAAGTGCCAGTGTGGAACAAAAACCATCAGGATTGTGGCCCTTGAGGATTGGAGTTGTGCTACTCTGATTTAGATCTTGAATGGCATTGAAGCATGTCCGGCAAAGAAAAGTACATGTACAGTGAGGGAAAAAAGTATTTCATCCCCTGCTGATTTTGTACGTTTGCCCACTGACAAAGAAATGATCAGTCTATAATTTTAATGGTAGGTTTATTTGAACAGTGAGAGACAGAATAACAACAAAAAAATCCAGAAAAACGCATGTCAAAAATGTTATAAATTGATTTGCATTTTAATGAGGGAAATAAGTATTTGACCCCTCTGCAAAACATGACTTAGTACTTGGTGGCAAAAACCATTGTTGGCAATCACAGAGGTCAGACGTTTCTTGTAGTTGGCCACCAGGTTTGCACACATCTCAGGAGGGATTTTGTCCCATTCCTCTTTGCAGATCTTCTCCAAGTCATTAAGGTTTCGAGGCTGACGTTTGGCAACTCGAACCTTCAGCTCCCTCCACAGATTTTCTATGGGATTAAGGTCTGGAGACTGGCTAGGCCACTCCAGGACCTTAATGTGCGTCTTCTTGAGCCACTCCTTTGTTGCCTTGGCCGTGTGTTTTGGGTCATTGTCATGCTGGATTACCCACCCACGACCCATTTTCAATGCCCTGGGTGAGGGAAGGAGGTTCTCACCCAAGATTTGACGGTACATGGCCCCGTTCATCAACCCTTTGATGCGGTGAAGTTGTCCTGTCCCCTTAGCAGAAAAACACCCCCAAAGCATAATGTTTCCACCTCCATGTTTGACGGTGGGGATGGTGTTCTTGGGGTCATAGGCAGCATTCCTCCTCCTCCAAACACGGCGAGTTGAGTTGATGCCAAAGAGCTCGATTTTGGTCTCATCTGACCACAACACTTTCACCCAGTTCTCCTCTGAATCATTCAGATGTTCATTGGCAAACTTCAGACGGGCATGTATATGTGCTTTCTTGAGCAGGGGGACCTTGCGGGCGCTACAGGATTTCAGTCCTTCATGGTATAGTGTGTTACCAATTGTTTTCTTGGTGACTATGGTCCCAGCTGCCTTGAGATCATTGACAAGATCCTCCCGTGTAGTTCTGGGCTGATTCTTCACCGTTCTCATGATCATTGCAACTCCACGAGGTGAAATCTTGCATGGAGCCCCAGGCCGAGGTAGATTGACAGTTATTTTGTGTTTCTTCCATTTGCTAATAATCGCACCAACTGTTGTCACCTTCTCACCAAGCTGCTTGGCGATGGTCTTGTAGCCCATTCCAGCCTTGTGTAGGTCTACAATCTTGTCCCTGACATCCTTGGAGAGCTCTTTGGTCTTGGCCATGGTGGAGAGTTTGGAATCTGATTGATTGATTGCTTCTGTGGACAGGTGTCTTTTATACAGGTAACAAGCTGAGATTAGGAGCACTCACTTTAAGAGTGTGCTCCTAATCTCAGCTCGTTACCTGTATAAAAGACACCTGGGAGCCAGAAACCTTTCTGATTGAAAGGGGGTCAAATACTTATTTCCCTCATTAAAATGCAAATCAATTTATAACATTTTTGACATGTGTTTTTCTGGATGTTTTTGTTGTTATTCTGTCTCTCACTGTTCAAATACACCTACCATTAAAATTATAGACTGATCATTTCTTTGTCAGTGGGCAAACGTACAAAATCAGCAGGGGATCAAATACTTTTTTCCCTCACTGTATGTTAAAAAGTAGTCTCGTCATATCAATACACACAGGATCTAGTTAGATATGACACTTTGAGAATGAATTATTTTGTAGCAATCAATTCGGTATCCACACCTGTTTTGACATGTTTACTGAAGTGTAAGGAAGGTTTTGGAGGAGCTTTTGAAATGCATAAAATGGGATGCTTCATATTCCCTGGTGAATAATGTACTGGATGTAGTGTTACTGAACTTGAGTGGCAGCTCAGACACTAAGAATTCTAAATAGAGGATCCTACATAAAACCCTTCATTCTATCTGTAAATGGGACACACAGACACAGCCTTGTGTCCCGGAATAGAGAGCTTTTGGAGATTCAAATTGTCTGTCTTATACAAACATTATGAAAGGTTGACTTGTGTAATCCTGTGAAAACTGTCTGTACTAATTTGGGTGGGAGATGTGTAGCGGTGGCTATGTTTTCTTCCCTAGCTTCAAAAGGAAGCAGTCGTACAGTGTTGGTAATGAAAGCCTCTTACACGGCCGCTCGCTGGAGGAATGTTATCTGTGTGGCATTGTGACGTGCCAGCATGAGGTCTCTTTCCACACAAGAGTGGAAGAAAACAGCCCAAAACACAATCTGAGAAATCCCACTGGGAAGGAGCAAATGAATTGTCCCATTGCACACAATAAACAGCTTTGTGTGGCATAATTTTCACAGAGAGAAAAAAGTTAATTGTTCGGTTAGAATTAGGGCTGTGCAAATGTAGTTTTTTTCAGAGACAACGACTATGTGAGGTTTTGCATTATGCATACAGTGCTCTGCCGGTGGGAAGGCCTTTATGGGGATAAGGCTGTAAATATCCCCAGTATAAAGGTTAGAGCTGTTCCCATGTGTTTCAGGTTATGACTGTAGGGAAGCACCCCTGCTGCTCAATTACCATTTAAACGTTTATAAATAGAAGACAAAAGAAGATTCACTTTTATATCCATGCTACTAGGAATATTCCATTCTGCGGATCCTTTGAGGTTTGGTTTCTGGTTGAAAATCCACCATCTAAACAAGGTTAGGATACTGAGACATGGAGATTTGCTGTTGCAGTGAATCTCATATTTGTCATACAGTACATAAAGTTCCAATTTCCCGGGTTTACCTATAAATGTAAGTACATAAAACAAATAAGTATTATTATAATCTTCCAGTGGGTATAAATAACATCTGAGGCGTGTAAAGACCTGTCATGGCTTAACTATACATTTTAGTCATTTAGCAGCCGCTCTTGTCCAGAGTGACTTACCGTAGTGAGTGCATACATTTTCGGACTGGTCCCCTGTGGGAATCAAACCCACAACCCTGGCGTTGCAAGCACCATGCTCTACCAACTGAGCCACACGGGACCACCACTTAATCAAATTTGCAGAGATAGCTTGTTTTCCCCCCATTTTATTCCTATTATTTCCATCGTTGGGATTTCTTTCAGGAGTGAGCACCGGTGTCTAATGCATGGGGCTAGGCTAGCCTTAATCTGGCCAGTGCTAACCAATAGTTGATTTACAGTTTCTAAAGGGGAGCACTCCAGTGTCATTATGTGAAATAGATAGGGGCTTTCTTCCCCCATTCAGCATTCATGTAATGTCTATTTAAGGTCTTAAAACAGATTTTGTGATCTTTCCTGATCTGCTGGTATTTTACGGCAACATTACATAATTTTGCTGTGCAGAGATCTGGATAGCTAGTCCTGTATATGAGAAAACAGACTCATGAAATAATGCTGATCAACCTATTTGCCATGGGGGGTTGTGTTCATATTTTTTTGTTGTCTTTCTTGTTATTTCTGTGTAATCTTGGAAGTCCTTATGCTGGCTGAGGAATAGCTTCCTCTGTCATGTTGACTTCTATAACAGAGACATTCTTGATGACTCATTGAATCAGCACAGACTATAGATGTTTTACTTGTGTGCTCCACTGACAACTGTTTACCAGACCATACTAAGGTCCAACTCTATGAAGAGACTGAATAGTTCAGACAATTTCAGAGGACATTCTCGATCAGTCAATCACACATTGTATGGCTTTGATGGGAACATTTCAGATTTGCATCATCGGAATATGTTCTAAGAGAGCTTTAACGAACAAGTAACTGCTAGGGGAACAGGCAAACTGATATGAATTCAACTTGAGGTCAAACGCACAGTGAAAAGTCAAACACACAGTTCTCTATCCTCTGGACCGGACCCCATAACGACCCATAATGATTGTTCTCAGCAGTGGTCTTTTTACAAGATCACATCTCCCACAGCCTCTACATCATAACCAGTGTCTCCGCTATGGCAGGAGGAGCAGATGGAGAGAGCACATGTAATCACTATGAATGAAAGATACATATTTTCTTAAATAACAGCCCAATCCCCCACTAGCTCTATCTATTACAGGGGTAGAGGCTGTGGGAGGCCTTTCTCCCAGCAGGTGGCAATTGTGGCGGGCAGCATTGTCCACACAGGTCCTGGGAGGGGAGCTGGTGCCTGGGTCCCAGTTTAGGATCTGATGGATGGCATATGGTGTGAGTGAGGGATGACAGCCTACCCAGCTGGCACAAGGCGATGAGTTAATATCTTCTCTTCCAGGTAACAGGCGAGGGGAGGCTGAGTGAAAGGAGGCTTTAGCTACTAGCGATTACATAAGAGGGTTCAGAGGCTGGTACTACAGCAGTTACCGCAGATTAGACAATGGCAGGCGATCAGGACACTACTCACATTGCATACATCTATATTAGGCATTACTTGCGCTTCTTATGTGAACCTTTAACATGGGATGGATGGAACTGTGTGACATATAATTGCATATAGAACTGATTTATAGGATGTATGTGCTGTGAAAAGAAACATTACCTTATATGGAGTTATTTTGATTCCATATCCTCGCAAACCTAAAATCTAACCCAAATCTATCATTCATGACTCATCCACTTCAATCAAATGAATACTTCAAAATATGAGTGTGTGGTATTGCCCTCAATACTGAAATGAAAGGGTTTTTAAAAATTAGCTGAAGATTATCTGTAGCTGTAATATCATGTAGTAATAATTTGAGTCTTGCTGGGATTGTGGTGGTGATCAAAGGAAAAGGATACTACTAGAGATAACAAGGGGAAAGTATGAAGAAAATATCAGAGCCTCTGTACTGGGGCATGGAAATCCAATTGAAGACATCAACTCAGACAGAGATTTATTTCATTTTATCGACGCTAATACAGTGCAGTAGAAAAGTATGTGAATGTGAACCCCTGCAGAGTTTTCACATTTTGTGGTGTTAGTCTGAAATGTTGATACTTTCTATTTCTTTTTCTACTGATGTACACAACCTACTTCACATGGTAACAATTGAAAGTGTCAACATTTCAGACTCAACACAACAACATGTTAAAACTGTGCAGGGGTACACATACTTTTTTACTGCACTGTATATCTACCAAGAGAAAGTAGAATTGTAATGTTTCACAGTAACTTACCCTAAATCATGTTATGTGATGATTAAACTGTATTTCCACCTGAAACTGAATCCTTGACTCTCACTGTTGGCCTAAATATGATGCCACTGATAATCAGGAATATAATAATAAGAATGAAAATAATCTAATTATTGTGACTGTATGTTTTGCAGGCCCTGCTGTCCCTGTGGGGGTGGATGTTCAGGTGGAGAGTTTGGACAGTATATCAGAGGTGGACATGGTAAGTGAATGAATAACCATACAAACATGAAACATTTCAATTAAGTCAATATTATGTATGTTATGTTGTAAATGTGAATGTAAAAGATTACTCTGACGTTTTTCTTGCGCTGTACCCAATGATTTATCAAAACTTGCTTAGTGGGTTGATGTCCTCATTGTGGTTTTACAGATGTTTAATACGTTTATGTACACACTGTATTCGAATATTTATGAAATGCACATTGTTATATTATTTAGCATTTACTTGTTTTCCCTAAACTCCAACCCCATTCAATGCGTGGAACGGATGTGGGTGGAGCTATGTCTACATAAGGGTGCTAATTTAAATAACTCACAAAAGCTCTGACGAAGGCCTTGAGGCCGATAAGTAAAGCTTATTAAAGAGCAGTGATACTATCAAGAGCAGTGTGCGGGTTTCTTTTTTTTTTTTCTCATCTTATTCAACTGTTATCATGCACCAGCAAAAAAGATAGCTCAGATGTGCGAGTGCCTTTTGAATTTTGAATTAAGTCAATGTTAACAGTTGTTAGGTCAGTGGAACATTTGAAGTGGTCATTGTGATACAGTGTTTAAATTCAACAACTACTGAATTGCAATGGGTAGGGATGCTGGCCATTCCTATAACAAATCAAGAGACACCCATCAGTCTTAAATATTTTAGGGTCTGTAACATCAATGATGCTGCAGCCCACTACTTCCATTGAACTGAAAAGCTCAGATTCATAATATTGGTCATGCTTATTAATCTCTTATTCTCAGATAATCAAAATAATAGGAGCACAGTGCTAGAAATTGTTTTGTGTTCAAAATGACCTTGCAAATGACCATGCACATGTTCCACCACTATAAATTGGAGCCCAAACTTCCATCCTGATGTTCTGTAAGCCTCTATGTGAGCATTTACATGTTTGTATATAATTATATAAAAATAGATAGGGCAAATTATTGCTTACAAACGATGACTGTCCTTAATGATATAATGCCAGACTGATGGAGGACAAAGGTTCAGTCAGACGTATCAACCATTTTAATAGCATTATGCAATGTTACAGTGTCAAAATGTGATGTTATACACACATTGTATGTAATGACAAAGGTACTGAAGTGGGCACTTATTACTTCATTGGTGCTATTATTTCAAGTCGTATTATTACTGATCTAATATGATGTAATATAATGCTGTGAAGTGAATGGAAAAGAGGATGGTCTGCTGGGGTAGATAAAGTGGCGTAGTCGGCATAAAATAAACCCCTTTGCCTAGTAACAGATACAGATCAAGGAGCAGAGAGGAAGGAAAAGGATATGTGTGACCAATGCAACCTCTAACCCAGAACTGTCATTACTGTATGTGTCTCATCATCACTAATGTCAATTCTGACTGCCCTCTCTGGACATATGACATAATATGTTCCATGCTCATACTGAGGACATACACTGAGTGTACAAAACATTAGGAACACCTGCTCTTTCTATGACTAGGTGAATCCTAGTGAAAGCTATGATCCCTTATTGATGTCACTTGTTAAATCCACTTCAATCAGTGTAGATGAAGGGGAGGAGACAGGTTAAAGAAGGATTTTTAAGCCTTGAGACAATTGAGACATGGATTGTGTATGTGTGCCATTCAGAGGGTGAATGGGCAAGACAAAAGATATGTGCCTTTTTTTATTTATTTTATTTTACCTTTATTTAATTAGGCAAGTCAGTTAAGAACAAATTCTTATTTACAATGACGGCCTACACCGGCCAAACCCGGACGACGCTGGGCCAATTGTGCGCCGCCCTATGGGACTCCCAATCACGGCCGGTTGTGATACAGCCTGGAATCGAACCAGGGGGTCTGTAGTGACGCCTCAAGCACTGAGATGCAGTGCCTTAGACCGCTGCGCCACTCGGGAGCCCTTTGAACGGGGGTATGGTAGTAGGTGCCAGGCGCACCGGTTGTGTCAAGAACTGCAACGCTGCTGGGTTTTTCATGCTCAACTGTTTCCCGTGTGTATCAAGAATGGTCCACCACCCAATGGACATCCAGCCAACTTTACACAACTGTGGGAAGCACTGAAGTCAACATGTGCCAGCATCCCTGTGGAACGTTTTCGACACCTTGTAGAGTCCATGTCCCAACGAATTGAGGCTGTTCTGAGGGCAAAAGGGGGGGGGGGGTGCAACCAATGTTCCCTCTAATTTTTTCTGGCACAGAGCAAATTTCATGTCTGCTGAGCGCAAACTTCAACTTTGTGAAAATTCTGTGCAACTTCCAGTGCGCGTTTACTGTGAACACTGAGGCTGTACCCGCTTTAAGTTACAGTTTTAACAGTGGTCATGTAGGCTACTGTGGCTATTTGATCATAATGTAGGCCTACCAGAGTGGTCCTATCATCAAAAACAATGGAGAAAATGCATCCCATAACATTTTAACATGGAAATAGCTGTTCTATCATTCAGCCTACAGTAGCAGCCAATGTGTGGTGTTCAATGTAGGCCTACATGAAAAAAACATACACGGCTTGACATTAACCTGTTTATTCACTTGTCCTTCAGACAAGGAGGTGACTGAACATGCTGTTATGTTGTTTAATGCAAGAAACCACTTTAAAATGCATTATTATTGTCATACCATTATTACAGAGAATCTGAAAAATGATGCTACCCTCTGCCTATTGGCTACTTAGCTAATTCAAGCCTGTCTCAAAACACAACACTGCCTCTTTAAGACAAAAAAAAGCTATTTAGCTAGAAATGTACACGTTTTGTGCTCTTGTAGGAAGCAATCACTCCCCTATTGCTGACTACAAATGATCTATAACTGGGCTAATAACTCACTAACTAGCAAAGGATATGAACTAAATCTGCACACGTGGCTACATTCAGCTCTCGCTTTGATCTCAAAACAAGCGCATCTACTCACGACCGCTCATGCTGTAAACACAATCCAGTTCAAAGTAAATGGCACAGATCCAAATTCAGTGCATTCGGAAAGTATTCAGACCCTTTGACCTTTTCCAAATTTTGTTACGTTACAGCCTTATTCTAAAATTGATTAAATTGTTTTTTTCCCCTCATTAATCTACACACAATACCCCATAATGACAAAATAAAAAACAGTTAGTATTCAGACCCTTTACTCAGTATTTTGTTGAAGCACCTTTGGTAGCGATTACAGCCTTGAGTGTTCTTGGGTATGACGCTACAAGCTTGGCACACCTGTATTTGGGGAGTTTCTCCCATTCTTCTCTGCAGATCCTCTCAAGCTCTGTCAGGTTGGATGGGGAGCGTCGCTGCAAAGCTATTTTCAGGTCTCTCCAGAGATGTTCGATCGGGTTCAAGTCTGGGCTCTGCTCGTTGTCCTGTTGGAAGGTGAACCTTTGCCCCAGTCTGAGGTCCTGAGCGCTCTGGAGCAGGTTTTCATCAAGGATCTTTCTGTACTTTGCTCCGTTCATCTTTCACTTGATCCTGACTAGTCTCCCAGTCCCTGCTGCTGAAAAACATCCCCACAGCATGATGCTGCCACCACCATGCTTCACCGTAGGGATGGTGCCAGGTTTCCTCCAGACGTCAGGCTTGGCATTCAGGCCAAATAGTTCAATCTTGGTTTCATGAGATCAGAGAATCTTGTTTCTCGTGGTCTGAGAGTCTTGAGTCCTACTCCGATGCGTTCTGCATACAACAACATTTCTTGCATAGTTTGTTTTGTTTTGGTATGTTGCATTGAAAGTGGCTAATACTGCGTTGATTCAATCACAATTGCCACAGTAAAGGGAAACGTTGATAGTGTTAACAGGAAAAACTCTACAACTGTGGTCACCAAACTTTTCTGAGTCAAGATCACTGAATCAAAATGCAAACCAAGATCTACCGCTCAGTTATTTTTTTCACCGGTAATAGATCCGTTGTTGTATTACTTGTGAGGCACAGCTGAGTGAGCATACATTTAAATAATTTGCTTTGTATTTTTATTTTACTGGGCTGATGGTGCCTGCATCTTATGGTCAGTCTCAGCAGAGGGAGAGAGCAGCAGACTGAGGGTCCGCCTCTCAACATCTCTCCCACTGATTCTGACCAAAAATTGACAAAGTCATACAGCTAATGGCAACTCGAGTCGCACCACATGCACAAATTCATGTTGTTACTCCTATGAACAGAGAAAGTGAAATATTTCCTGTAACTTTCTTTTATGCCTGCTACATTACTGCAGACACGGTAATCTGAGCCATCCGATTGGCCAGCGGTAGGCCTATAGTGCACTTGATTTGCTCTCTGGGCCCACCGGGAAGGCAGAGTTTGTGCCTTCAGACACATGAAATGGTTCAAAATGGCAACAGTTTGCCTACCCGGTGCACAGGGCAGCTGAATCAGGTGCAACGGGCCGAGACTAATACAAAAAAATAGGAACACAAGGCTTTATTGTTGGGTTTTTTACAGAAATGTTTGGCGATTGACTAGGAATGCATTGGAGATCGACCAGTCGGTGACCACTGCTCTAGAAAGTTGAGTGAAGTTAAATCTGGTGCTTCTCTCTGTGGGCTGATATTTCAGTGCGGGCAGTCCCGAGGAGCTGTGCAGCAGTCTCGGGGCTACTGCGCGCGTGCACAGTTTAGAGGGAACATTGGGTGCAACTCAATATTAGTAAGGTGTTCCTAATGTTTAGTGCACTCAGTGTATGTCTGATCATAAATATACACTGTAATCCAAGGAGAGGATGAGACCCTGGTAATCGAAACATTTACAATCAATGGCTTAATCTAGAACTCTAAATCCAGGAAAGGGTTCAGAGGGTTTATACAAGGCTGCAACCAACTAACAAATGAATCCAAAAGCCATCTCTGTCTGTTTGGGTGACCTGCAGGACTTCACCATGACTCTGTATCTGAGGCACTACTGGAAAGACGAGAGGCTGTCCTTTCCCAGCACAACCAATAAGAGCATGACGTTCGACGGACGCCTGGTCAAGAAGATCTGGGTGCCTGATGTGTTCTTCGTCCACTCCAAGAGGTCGTTCATTCACGACACCACCACGGAGAACATCATGCTCAGGGTGTTCCCAGACGGACACGTTCTCTACAGTCTCAGGTGAGGGAACTGGAAGCAGCAGCTGCACTCAGTTTCCTTTTGTGTCAAACTCCACATTCTTCAGAAGTGCAACAGTGCCATTTCTATGATGGCAGCGCAGAACTCAGTTGATCTACATTTGCCCAGCACACATTTACCCAATCTCATAGAATCATACTTTACTACGAGGATGTAGCATGTTGATGTTTTATGTTTGTGTCATCGTGGATATAAAGATGTTGTGTTTGAATCCCCAGGGTGACGGTTACTGCTGCCTGTAACATGGACTTCAGTCGTTTCCCTCTGGATTCACAGACCTGCACGTTAGAGCTGGAGAGCTGTAAGTAGCGGTACTCTGACTGTCTCACACTGTGTTATGAAGGGATTTGGTGTGGTGGTACAGTACATCAGGCAGATGTCAATTTGAAATGTCTGTTGTCTCCAGATGCTTACACGGATGAGGACCTCATGCTGTACTGGAAAAGTGGGGATGAGTCCCTGAGCACGGATGACAGGATCTCTCTGTCTCAGTTCCTCATCCAGAAGTTTCACACTACCTCCAGACTGGCTTTCTACAGCAGCACAGGTAGAACCACAAATCAGCTCTGAGGGTCTGATAAGAACGTGTATTGTATAAAAATCCTACATACTGTATACAAATGATGACTGGATGTTGCAGGCATTTACTTCTCAATAAGTCAACATTTATTTGAATAACAAAATTGAAGAATATTATCTGTTTGTATGGAGTTTTGAATGTGACAATTTCACTGAATCCATATACAATACCTTGTTGTACAAATACATCTGCTCTTACGTTCTTCAGAGAAACAAAACCCATTTTCATATTTATGGTGATATCTCACGTCTTTCACTTCTTCCCTCCAGGCTGGTACAACCGTCTGTACATCAACTTCACCCTGCGACGCCACATCTTCTTCTTCCTGCTCCAGACCTACTTCCCTGCCACTCTGATGGTCATGTTGTCTTGGGTTTCCTTCTGGATCGACCGTCGGGCCGTACCGGCCAGGGTCTCATTAGGTAAGATACACTATTAGAAGAAAAGGTTATACCTAGAACCTAAAAGTGTTCTTCAGCTGTCCCTGTGGGGGGGACCCTTTTTTCTAAGAGTGTAGATGGATTGGTTGGTTCATATCTATGAGGATACTTCCTTGAGTCTCGTGTTCACACAGACGTTGTGTGTTGTACTGTGCTCCAGGTATCACCACAGTGCTCACCATGTCCACCATCATCACTGGAGTCAACGCCTCCATGCCCAGGGTTTCCTACATCAAAGCTGTGGATATTTACCTCTGGGTCAGTTTTGTGTTTGTGTTCCTATCGGTGCTGGAATATGCTGCCGTCAACTATCTGACAACGTTGAGGGATGGGAAAGATCGGAAGCTCAGGGAAAAGGCCAGAGAGCAGGTAAGGTTCCCATCAGGACTACGCCTGTAATGCTCTTCTTTATGTCCTTTCAGCATATTTCCTACTCCAATCTCTCTCTCTTTCTCTTTCTCCTCTGTCCTACAGTCCCTGGGCCTGGTGAGAGACCAGGTAAGGGTCCTCATCATACCACACTGAACTACAAGTCCTTTCATCGTTTTTCCTACTCTGATCTCTCTCACCCCCCACCTGTCTCTCTCTCTCCATCTCTCTCTCTGTTTCTCTGCCCTACAGTCGCTCCCCTGCACATGTGGCATGTCCCACACCGGGACCATGATGGTGGATGGGAACCTACAGCGAGGCCGACACCAACAGTCTAGCCGGGTACACCAGGGCCCCCGCTCCCGAGGACCCCCCGGAGAAGCAGGAGCGCATGGTGGTGCACATCTCCTTGGACAACGAATCCACGGCAACCAAGAAGAAGGCGCGCTTCCGCAACTTCAGTTTCATGAAGAACACCCACGCCATAGACACCTACTCCCGCATGATCTTTCCTGGATCCTACATCATCTTCAACCTCATCTACTGGTCTGTGTACTGCTGAGGCTCTCCCGAACAGCCTTGATACAGTCAGCAGAGAGACAATCTACTGATGTTGCTGTACCAGATGAAACAGGACCGTTATTTAACTCTGACTGACAAACTGATTGACTCAAAGTGGTAATGACCTCCATAGTGCACATTGAGGTGGTGGATTTCTTATAACACCTGTGCTCACCAGCAGCGCTCACAAAGGATTTCACAGGTCTCTGGATGGATAAAACCATTCTATCCTCAATATCAGCTACAACCATCTCACTACTTGACTCAACTGTACAGCTTTCCTACTTTCTCTATATAAACTATTTACACAACCATGCAGGTCCAAGCAACAAACTACGATGGAATACCTACCTGCTCTTCCCATTTATTGCAATTTGATCTCTGGAATCGATGCTGTTTTATACTCATGGTACTGTCAACGCAGGGAAACTATGTCTGCATTACTGACAGTATACGTACATCTGAAATGGACTAAGTGTTGCCCAAGCTTGACTCTTTAAAACAGAAAGCTTGATCCATAATGCGAGGGTTTGACCTCGAAGTCAATCGACTATGTTGATTTGGCAAGCACCAATTGCTCATGAGCACATTGAAACACAGCCACACACTCATGTCTTCTAGGAATGCACCAAGTGTTATTCTTTTTAAGATTGAGCAAACCACACAAAAATCTAAATCTACATTATACAAGCTGGAATTTTCATGAAATAGATGTTCACTTAGATTACAGTATTTCATTTATTTTATTCATTATCTGTTTATTTAATTATTTATTCATTTTAGGCCTAGCAATTTACTTACATAATACATTTTTAGTGCACTCATATGCCATTATACCTTAAGTTGTTAAAAACAATGCATGGGGCTGAATAGATTTTTTCATGGCTGGCCACAGAAATTGTGAGGGTGGGTACTATTTATGAATGCTTATGTGAACTATCATTAAGCTTGTTTCAGAAACTCAATGTTATCAACCAATTAAAGTGCTGTTTCTGTTTGTATATATTCAGAAGGGGTTTTAAAGACTTATAAACCTTTATCAGTGATGTAATGAACTTGAACAGCCTTAAGTGAACTGGTTTCACAGCTATATCTTTTGTGTTTGTTTGTTTGATTGACTGTTTGGATTACAAGTGACTGCATATAGTTTTTTTATCCAGTATTCTATCCAACCAGTATATTAGTACACATGGTGTTGTATGTAGTATGTAGATAGCCACAAGCATGAGCTGGATTTACTAGGCACCCATATTGCCACTGTAGACATGTCAGCATGTTGGACAAATGCTCAACCAATGCAAACCACCTCGGACAGATGCTTGTCCACAAGCTGCACAACTATTGTAGACTGATTATTGTTGCATGAAATATTTAGAATGTATGCTTTTTGGAGCAGATTTATAAATAAAGGCTTTAAACTAAAAGCATGTTTACAGTCAAGGTGTTTGAGCATGATTCATGACCATACCGTTTTTGTTTGCCTGTTCTCAATCTAAAGAAAAGTCTGTAAACATTATCTTTCAATTGCTGGAGGTAGGGTTGCAAAGTTTCATTCACTTTCTCAAAATTCACATGTTTTTTCAAAAATCCCAGTTGGAAGATTCTCTGAATCAAGAGGTGAACCTGGGAATTTTGGGAAGGTTACTGGAATTTTGCAACCCTAGCTGAATTATGTCATTGTTTCCTTATGGATGAAACAACATTACTAAGAACTATGAAATAACATTACTGGAAATACAGCATTCACTTTAAGAATGTGTTTCTGAGACAATCTTGCCATGTGACATACATCTGTCTGTCTGTAATCCAGATTTTAGAGAGCATTCAGAGCACATTTAATCCCCAAACAAACAAATCAAATTACATTTTCCTCTAATTTTCTGAGATACTGAATTTGGGGTTTTCATGAGCTGTAAGCCGTAATCATCAAGATTAAAACAAATACAGGCTTGAACTATTTCACTTTTTGTGTAATTAATCCACGATAGATATGAGTTTCACTTTGTCAATTGAATTATTGAAATTACTTAACTTTTCCACAATATTCTAATTTATTGAGCTGCACCTTTATTCATCCCCCTTGGCGTTTTTCCTATTTTGTTGCATTACAACCTGTAATTTAAATTGATTTTTATTTGGATATCACGTAATGGACATGCACAAAATAGTCCAAATTGGTGAAGTGAAATGAAAAAAATAACTTTCTAAAAAATAAATAATGGAAAGGTGGTGCGTGCATGTATTCACCCCCTTTGCTATGAAGCCCCTAAATAAGATCTGGTGCAACCAATTACCTTCAGAAGTCACATAATTAGTTAGATTGCACACAGGTGGACTTTATTTAAGTGTCACATGATCTCAGTATATATACACCTGTTCTGAAAGGACCCAGAGTCTACAACACCACCAAGCAAGCGGCACCATGAAGACCAAGGAGCTTTCTAAACAGGTCAGGGACAAGTTGTGGAGAAGTACAGATCAGGGTTGGGTTATAAAAAAAATATCTGAAACTTTGAACATCCCACGGAGCACCATTAAATCCATTATTAGAATATGGAAGGAATATGGCACCACAACAAACCTGCCAAGAGAGGGCTGCCCACCAAAACTCACAGACCAGGCAAGGAGGGCATTAATCAGAGAGGCAACAAAGAGACCAAAGATAACCCTGAAGGAGCTGCAAAGCTCTTCAGCGGAGATTGGAGTATCTGTCCATAGGACCACTTTAAGCCGTACACTCCACAGAGCTGGGCTTTACGGAAGAGTGGCCAGAAAAAAGCCATTGCTTAAAGAAAAAAATAAGCAAACACGTTTGGTGTTTGCCAAAAGCCATGAGGGAGATTCCCCAAATATATGGAAGAAGGTACTCTGGTCAGATAAGACTAAAATTGAGCTTTTTGGCCATCAAGGAAAACCCTATGTCTGGTACAAACCCAACACCTCTCATCACCCAGAGAACACCATCCCCACAGTGAAGCATGGTGGTGGCAGCATCATGCTGTGGAGATGTTTTTCATCGGCAGTGACTGGGAAACTGGTCAGAATTGAAGGAATGATGGATGGCGCTAAATACAGGGAAATTCTTGAGGGAAACCTGTTTCAGTGTTCCAGAGATTTGAGACTGGGACGGAGGTTCACCTTCCAGCAGGACAATGACCCTAAGCATACTGCTAAAGCAACACTTGAGTGGTTAAAGGGGAATCATTTAAATGTCTTGGAATGGCCTAGTCAAAGCCCAGACCTCAATCCAATTGAGAATCTGTGGTATGCCTTAAAGATTGCTGTACACCAGCGGAACCCATCCAACTTGAAGGCGCTGGAGCAGTTTTGCCTTGAAGAATGGGCAAAAATCCCAGTGGCTAGATGTGCCAAGCTTATAGAGACATACCCCAAGAGACTTGCAGCTGTAATTGCTGCAAAAGGTGGCTCTACAAAGTATTGACTTTGGGGGGGGTGAATAGTTATACACGCTCAAGTTTTCTGTTTTTTTTGTCTTATTTCTTGTTTGTTTCACAATAAAAAATATTTTGCATCTTCAAAGTGGTAGGCATGTTGTGTAAATCAAAAAAACAAACCCCCTAAAAATCCATTTTAATTCCAGGTTGTAAGGCAACAAAATACGAAAAATGCCAAGGGGGGTGAATACTTTCGCAAGCTACTGTACTTTAAATTTAAGAGTTAGGTTTAGGGTTACAATTAAGGTTAGAGTTAGGGTAAGTATTTAGGTTTAGGGTTCGGAGTTAGGTTTGGGTTAAGGTTAGGGTTATGGTAAGGGTTAGGATTAAGGTTAGGTTTAGGGTTAGGGAAAATAAGATTTTGAATGGAAATACATTTTAGGATAGAAGAACATAACGTGTGTGTGCGGAATTTGTGTTGAAAAAATTGCCAACACAAATTCCCTTTACTCTACAGTTTACCATGAATTCCATTGTTTACCCAAGTTACGAACGTTTATTAAATCAGCTTAAAAGTATAATACATTATAAGTATATCATAATTCATATTCATACGGTATATTGTAAAAAATATTTTAACAAGCATCTACAGTAAATTTGTATGGGACTGTATTATGCCATGCTCACTGTCATATTCAACAGAACCATCATCATCAGTTGACAGTTGGTTAGTGCAGATTAATTTATAATGAAGAGATAGAAGAAAAAAAACGTTATGTAATGTCATGCGGTTGGCTTTGCATCAAGTGCTGCAATCTTCCACCCAGCAAATCCAGATTAATTATGATTGGGGAGGTGGGAGAAAATCTGTCATTTTCAATCAAATAAAACTGCCACACATGCAATTACAGAACTGCAACAGCATTCTAAGTTCTTTATGTCATGGGAGACATCTTGGCTTACCTCGCGATAGCTGATGTGTTGATGAGCTTTCTGACGCTATGGCTGCTTTGGCATCACCCAGGTGGGTGATACACATTGGTGGCAGTAGATAAGGTGAGTTTCCCCCATATGTAAATCACTTTAAGCATGTGTAAAAGCAGTATAGAAATAATTCATTGCTATTTTAAAAAAAAAATCATGATTAAATTGGATATATACAGTATCTCATAAAAGAAGACCTTGCCATCAGGTACTTTTCTATCAGGTATGTATTTGTGTAAGACAAATCTCCACTCTGAAACGTGTTCTAGACCATGCCGCCCTCTATTGGTTGAAAGGTATGCAATAGAAGGTTTGTTCAAATGAAATCCATGTAAATGTATTCTTTGTAATCTTGATGTGCCAGTACTCTCGAACAGCAGGTGGTGGTGCTATAACACTAGGTATTGCACTTTGCATAGAAACTGTAGTGAACACTGCTGTCATTGAGAACTACTGCATTTTACTTCCTGATATCTTGAATACTGGGTTAGGGTTGAACTTGGATGTGGACACTAATCTAGGGGTTAGGGTAAGGGTTGTGGTTGAGGCTGGTTTAGTGTTGAACCGGGATGTGGACATGAAGTTAGGGTTAAGGTTAGGGTTG